GAACCGATTCGACTCAGATGTGAGGTCGCCGATGATCGACTCAATTAGGGGTTGCACTCTCGTTGAAATTCGAATTCCAAGGATTATTATGTATGCCCCCCTACACCTCCGTCAAGTCAAGCCATCACTGACGCCATTCAATCAAAGACATCAATGCCGGTGACCGCCACTACCCCTTCTTGTCGTCACCGTTGTAAGCTCCAGATTAGAGAGAATGTATACACAGAAGAAGAATAAAGTGTGATATTTGAGGGTGTATGAGTAATTTTCAATTCGAAAGTAAATATGGGATTGTTTTTGTAATTATAATAAGGGTAAATATGGTATTTTATGCTCAAAATTTGATGACATTATCAAAAAATCTTTGTTGATCGGCGTTAGAATGTCATCGAAAGGGGCAAAGTGTTACAATATAGTTAACTTTGAGAGATGTAAGTGATATTTTTGAAATATTAGGAGTAGCATCTGTAATTAAGCCAAACCTCAGGGAGGTAAGTGATATTTTTCTTTAATTTAAACTTGAATGTGTTAAAAAAAAAGGCTTATATTGTTGCTGCTTTAAAATAATACAGTATAATTCGGTAAATAAATTCGTGTTTGTCCCAATTGGCTAGCAAGCGCGTAGGTCTCATGGCTTTTAAGCTTGTCTCGTTGATCGATCTTCACTTTCAGCTATGAGTGGGACCACTTAAGTGTGAACGTTAAAAGTATTAACAATGAAAGTATGAACAAAATGACACGCCAATTAATTATTGCTCCATAATATTTTCAATCAATCCCTTTTAATTATCTTTTTGGTCATAATTTTTATTTTTGTCTTGTTATATCCAAAGTCAACTCGGCTGCCATGTTTGCAATACTCATAGATTATTAAGGAGGATAAAATGGTGAACTAGCTTAAACAGTGTTAGTAGTAAAAAACAACTTCAATAAAATGTATTACTATTATCCAAACAACTTATTTTTCTTTTAACTTGCTTCCATTAAAATGGAATTTACAAGAGTGAAAGGAAATTAATTAGAACAAGGGAGCTAGCTCCCCCAAATGAAACAGAAGAGCTAGACCCGGCTAAGCCAAGAAGATGAACGAGGGACATATTAGAATCCCTTCAACAGGCTAATGGCTATACTCTTTGTAAATATTAGAAATTCCAATGCCAATAGCAATGCCTACTGGGGTTGACAGAGACATTTAATATCTACTCCTACAACTAACACACAATTTATATTATCATCTTAATTTGAATTTCTACCGGACTGACACGTGTATTTCCCCCCTCATATCTACGGCTTAGAGTATGGGAAGGTCGCTCATTTAAAAAAAAAAAAAATACAAAAATAGAAAACAATGTTGCTTCTCAGATAAAGCTGACCACCAAAAATTGCCATCGCTGCCTAATCACCCATGTGAGCCTCCATCACCATCACCATCACCATCACCTCTGTCCAGATTCCACCCTCTCTATCTATCTCTCTTCGACCATCAACATCATAAAACACCAATAATTTAAAATCCCAACAAAATCTTTCACCTCACGTTGTACCACCCCAACAATAACAAAATAATAATAATACATATTCAATTTTGATCTTCCTTTGCTTATTTTTCAACTATTCCCACTCAGAAATTGCCAATTCTAATCACACCAAATTCTTCAATTTATTAGTGAGCTAGTTTTTCAAACATGACCAAATCCATAAACTTCGCAAACACTCATCAAACTTTAAATTGAACGGTAAACGGATTGAGTTTTCTTCGGATCAGTATTATTTCAATTCAAATTCGATAAGAATATACTCGATATGATCCGATCTATAATTCAACAGATATTTTATGAATAAATTCATATCCGATTTGGTAACAAATGGATATTTGATCCGATAATCCGGCCCGATCTGATAAATGTGTGTGTATATTTTTTTATTTTAAAAAAAAAAGTTCAAAAGAGAATAAAATAACAAAGATAAATAAATTATATAAAAAAAAATTAGATCTTTTACTAATTGTTAAAGAATAAAAACTTGGGAATAAGAAAAAAATAGAGAGAGTAAAGAAGGAGAGGGGAAAATAATGATAATTTTTTTTATAATATAAAAAATATTATATATCATAAAAATAGATTATATTTTTTAATATGTTATTTTGGATTGGATTGGATTGTTATCGGATTGGATTGGATAGACCATAATTCATATCCGATTTGTTTCACTGGGTTATCAGATTAAATTTTCAATCTTTATCCTAATTATGGAATCGAATTTTGATCAAACTCGGATCAAAATCCGATCCATCTTTAACCTAATTATGGAATCGAATTCCGATCAAACTCGAATCAAAATCTGATCCATTGACAAATCTACCTTTACACACACACACAAACACAAACACAAACAAGTAGTAGTTATTGTAACATTCATCGACTATGATGACTGTGCATGTTTTAGTAGTGCATCTACTTTATGTCTGATGGTTATTTGAATCTTAGTTAGAATAAAAACATGCTTTAATAAAAAAAATTATTTTTGTTTAATTACAGAGAAAATTATAATATTTGATTTTGTTTAGTAAATTAAATTTGAGTAGGTTATTATTTATTAAAAAAATTGAGCTTTGGGATTCAGAAAGTTGATTTACAAGTTTTGTTACAAATTAGATTTTACTCCCTTGCAACGAATACATATTGGTATTAAGCCATTAATTATGTATGTATATATATATTTAAGGGACCTTTGAATGTGAAAATTTCTATATATGATGAACAGTTGGACTTACATAAAAGTGTGGAAAGCCTAATTGGCTGAGTTCCATATGGAATCCTACTAACAAATCTTGAAGATGGATCGTTTATCTTTAAGCTCGGTTTCTCAAGCTTGGCCTTCAACACTGTCAAATGCAGACTTTTCTCCTTGAATTTCCATGGTCGCATTCGCATAACATTGCTGCGATGTGTAAGTTGCCTTCCCTTGTTTGCTTCGCTTTCGGTTAGGGTCGGGCTTGGCTGGCTTGTATTCCTTTTCGGCTTTTGTTGTTTGGTTCTGGGCCAACTCTTGGGCCTTGTACCCTCATTGTTGTTTACCTTATAGAGTTTGCTTCCTTTTTTATTTTTTATTTTTTTATATTACTCCGTATTATTTTGTCGCCAAGTAAATTCACTCAAACAATACTATCCTACTCCTGTTTTAAACGAGAAGATATGTTAGTAGCAGCAGGCCTTAACATTATTAAGATGAGCTAATATTAAACCTATTTTTAAAAACACTTGGGAAAAGGCATGTGATAATAAATTTCATGTGGGAGCCACCTGAAATGAATTATTATTATTATTTTTAGCTTGGGGTCTTACAGTCCATTTCTAACTTTTTAATTTCATCCATCATAAAAGGCCAAGCCAACTTAGCCAAGAGAAGAAAAGGCCTCAGAAATTCCAAGAAAATACTTCGACTTGTTATATACCACTTCTAGGCTTTCTATATTCACCTATGCTCTGCCTTGCCCTGTGCTGGCTTGATAAAAAAAAATCTAATTTTGTGATTTTTTGTTTTATGACGTGAAAATCTTCGCAATTACCCGTTTTTTGGATTTGTAATCTAAATCACAGAAAGTGGAAGCGGGAGCGAGAGCGAATTCGAGAGTAAGAGCATGAGAGCGGCAGAATTAAGTCATAAGTAATGAGAATTTGAGTAAGAGCACACGCGGAGCGCGCTTGGAACGTAAGAGCGACACCTATTGAGAATGATTGTGTGACTTAACTTGTAACTACTAGGTAAACCTCCAGCTACCCACCCCTGTCCCACAGCGCAAGTAGCATTCTAAGTCAAGGTTCTAATGGAGATGGACGGACGAGTTTGGTTGTTGCCTTGCCTCTTAAGTTAAAGTTATAATAGAGAAGGTCAGGTTCGAATCTATTTTAATTATTGGTTGTTGCCTGACCTATTTTCCATCATAAAACTTCAAGAAAATACTTGACCTGTTAAATACCACTTTCAGGCTTTCTATATTCATCTCTGCTATGCCTTGGCCTGTGTTGGCTTGATAAAATAATAATAATAATAAATAAAATAAAATAAATCTAATTTTGTGAATATTTTTTTGGTTTTATGACATGGGAATCTTTGTAAATATTCGTCCTTTGAACTTGTAACCTAAGTCATAAAGTGATAGATAGAGCGTGAGAATGACAAAATTAAATCATAAACAATAAGAATTTGAGCGAGAGCGCACGCAGAGCGCGCTCGAAACGTAAAAGCGACATCTGTTAAGAATGATTGTGTGACTTAGCTTGTAATTACTAGATAAACCTCCGACTATCAATCCCTGTCCCACAGCGCGAGTAACATTTTAAGTCAAGATTATAATGGAGACAGACGGACGAATTTAGTTGTTGCCTCGCCTCTTAAGTCAAAATTATAATAGAGACAATCTATTTTAATTATTGGTTGTTGCCTTGCCTATTCTGTCACAATTTGATTTGATGTTACTGATACATTGGAATAATTTCTTCCATCACAAAAGACCAAGAGAAGGCCTCAGAAATCCCAGGAAAATACTTTACTTGTTATATACCTGCCTTGGCCTCTGCCTTGGCCTGTGCTGGCTTGATAAAAAAAATTAAAAATAAAATTATAACATTGTTATTGTTGTTATTTTATTATTATTATTATTATTATTTTTGTTTTATGACGTGAAAATTTTCACACAACTATGCATCCTTTGAACTTGCGAGTTCGAATCTAATTTAATTAGCGGTTGTTGCCTTGCCTGTTCTGTCACAATTTGATTTGATGTTACTAATCAATTCTTCTTTTTTTCTTTGATATCTATTAAAGGTAAAATGTATAGCTCCCTTTTTATTAATCCAATGATTATTAAAGGTTTAATTTTTCTTTTCATTTTTTTAAAGTTTAGCACATTTATGTCCAAAACATAATAATGGTCTTGCAATTCCACATAATCTCACTTCTTCTCAAGCATAAGGACGAACCAGAAAGATGCAGTAATATGCACTAAACAAGATTTTTTTTCACCATTTAAAGTTCTGTTTTTCTTTCTTTAGCCTCCTATTTTTACAATGTAATGAGGAACAACATTGGAGAAAAACTAAATTAAAAAGGGAAAAAAAAAAAAAAAAAACATGAGATTGAAATTCCATAGTTTGAGGTTTAAGCCCATTTCGCCAAAAGAGACATACATCCAGCCCCAAAAAGAAGAAAAGCATTAGCCCCCAATTGAAGCCTTCCACTGTTTTGCATCCTTGGATTCATGAAATCTGCCGCAAGAAGATCTACCAGCGACATGTATATCAGGATCCCAGCCGACGCAGCGTTAAAAATGCCTTCAACAATCAGGGCAGTTGGGCTATTCTCTTTGTAAACATTTGAAATTCCAATCCCAATCGCTATTCCAACCGGGGTTGTCAGAGAGAAAAACAAAGCCATTGTTGCTATAGCTCCAGCCTTGAATTTTGCCTACCCAAGGAATAAGAGCAAAGGAAATTTAGGCTTTTATTTATTTTTAAATTTTTAACAAATGTAAACAAAATTTTACCTTTATTTATTTTTAACAATGATAAACAAATTTTCAACTATTAATATATATATATATATATATATATATATATATATATATATATATATATATACAAACAAAGAACCAGCTATGAAGAACTGCAAGAAAATGAAAATCCCAATATGAAAGAAAGGGATGGATAGATAAATACTGGTATACACAATCACAAATGTCCATTATACCAGTTGGTTCAAAGGGGGAGCTGGACTAATGATCCAGTTTTGACAATAACAACACCAAGTTAATTATAAAGATATTTATTCATTTATGCTGGACTTTTTAAAAGATGAAATCCAAAAAGTCTTGCACATGGTTATTAAAGAAGAAGAAAATTTACAAACAGTTACTTCTCAGAAATTGTAGACTTTGAAAAAACAAGTCATTGGATATGCTTTCAGATTAGAAATTTGACTAATTTATTGTTAGAAGACTGCTTTGGCACAACTACACTTTAGAATCAATGAGGGCAAAGTGTTCTTGACAAATATCATATTTATTTGGTGATTGTTCACCATCTCTCTGAAATCCTAGTCCTAATGAAATAAAATATAGATATGTATTACCTGAGAGATACATCCACCAAGTCCCATGCCCTCAAAAAATTGATGGAAGGTGAGGGCAGCTACAAGAGGCTTTATTGTTTTTGGACTTTCAGAAGCACCCAATGAAATTCCAATGATAACTGAGTGAACCACAATCCCCAATTCCAAAACCTACATCAACCAACCAAAATTAAATACCCAAAACTCAAACCAAAACAAACAATACCATATGTACTTGATAACAAATATCCCAACAAAATCCGTGAACCACAATGACACATAATCACAGACACTATAATATAAAAATTGATCATCATACAGTAACAACCAAATAATTAAGAAATTGATCAACAAAAAATTACCTGTGATATGACACGATGTCGAATGAGTTCGGATGAGGCCGAATCCTCGGCCAAAGAGGTGGTGGAGCCATGAGAATGGCCATGAGTGGCATGGGTGTGAACATGCACGTGACCTGCATGCTCCCCAACCTTCTCCTCATCTCCATTCAAAGGCTGAGGCTTGTTGTTGTTGTTGAAGTGAGCCCTCTTATAGTACGAGGTGGCAAAGGCATCAACCATGAGTGTCCCGATCGCCGACATCATCGCCACGAATCCGGTGAACGGAAAATCGCCCCACGGGTGGTCGGCGAGGCACGGAGAGGTCAAGTTATTGAAGGCGTCGGGCAGGACGTGTATGAAACCCGTAGCCAAAATGACTCCGGCCGCGAAGGCCTTGATTAGGAAGAAGATGTCCTTCTCGGGACTTAAAGCCGGTATAGACTTTCCGAGAATCGGAAGACAGACGCCGATTGCACCGGCCACCAGGATGGAAGCTATGGCGGCCAACTTATATTTGAGTGCTTCACTCTTGTTACGGTCTCCATCTTCTTCATCACAGGTGCATTCACTCAAAACTAAGGTTGGAAGAATAACAAGAAGGCCAAAAAACAGTGGAACGAGCTTGTTCATGTTGATGAATGAGAGAGAGAGAGAGAGAGTGTTCAAGGGAGATAGAGTTATAGTAAGTAACTAAGACTATATATATATATATATACAGATACATATATATTAATAAATAAGGAACAAAAAGAAGAATGGCACAAAAAGAAGAATGAAATTACCTTAAAAACTTTGCTTTGATCTTTAAATAAATAAATTAAAACTTAGAATTTGAAGAAATAGGCCGGTTATTGGTTTTTTCACCATAGGGCTAAACTGGTCAAACCATGTGTAATAATGAGGACATGAACTTAAGATATGTGATAATAATGTGATTAAGGGAAAAGAAAAACAAAACAAAAAAAGGTGTTGACCTACTGGATAGAGAAATAATGAAGTCATTTAAGAATATTTTTTTATGCGGACTTAATTATTAGCTATATTTCTGATCTTGTTTTGTTGGTAAAATCCTATGATTATGCTTGTATATGTGACACGTGTGTACGTAATTAAATTAGGAGAGATTATAGAGACCCACCCCAAATTAAGTGATTAATTAATTATATACATAGAGGGAGTTTGAATGTGAAAGAAATTCGGAGTTTCCTATGATTTGTTGGACTTGATAACAAAGTGTGGAAATCATGTCGACATAACGAAGTGTGGAAATTAATTTATATGAGCTTTCGTATTTATTAGAAGCATCTAATAAACCCTAATCAAGCTCTCGGTAAAAAAAGGGAACCTTAAAATACGCAAGTCAACGTCAGCAAGCCTCTGACAATGCATTTTTTTTTCTTCTTGTAATTGCCTTTCCAACCGGCAAACAATAATTTTAATAAGTAATTAGGAGGAGTCAGCATGAATTCATCACGAGTCTCTCTACTTACATAAATTCATCAAAATTATCATATTTTTGAATTCGAAATCATTATTCACTTAACTATACAATCTTCTAAATGCAGGGTTAATCTAGTTGGTTTTTTTTTTTTTTTTTTTTTTTTTTTTTTTTAAAAGAAAATTTATAGTTTACAATCTTCTCCTCTTCCCAATCTATCTTCTATACAAAATAATAATAATAATAATCTTTTAATGTGTTCTTAATTTTATTAGTTTATGAATTTTTTTTTTTTTTTGGTTTAGTTCTCAAAATTGGATGATGGTGGGTTCATGATCTTAATATACAAGCAAACAGATTCCTATTAATCTAACTAACAAGTTGAGAAAAACAATTAAAAAACTAGAAGGCAAGTCAAATTATTAAGATTGCAGATTTATTTTAGAAGACATCACTTAGAAGCTAGCCTGATTTCTTCCTGAGGGATATCTTCTTAAATTAATGTGCAATGTTAATAAGTTGACTTGTCTTCTAGTTTTATTTATTTATTGTAAATTAGTGTAAGTTTTATAGATTTTCTCCAGTAATGAGTGATTTATTTGGTTTTTTAAATTTTTGATAATTTACTAGGCAACATACATTTAAGAGTAATGATAGAATTTGATAATAAAAGGAAATTATTGGAAACCCAAATTGAATGTAAGAATTAAAATATATATATATATATATATATATATATATATATATATATAACATACAAGTATGAAAGGGAGAAAACTCCTCTGGTCAAGAAAATGTGAAAACAAGAAAATCTTTTTAAGTAAAAGATAATTTGGTACCAAAAAACCAAAAATAAAATTGGGTGTGAAGTCAACAATTGAAGTAGAGATATTTTTGGAAATTGGTTGGCATGGGTTACCTGCAGAGATTGTACTCCAAATAATAACGATGAGAAAGAGCCCCACCGGACCGCCCGCAAATGTAGACTAGACTAAATAACAGCTCTTGGATGGGAGTGAGGGGGACCTTGTTTTTCAACTGGACTTTGGCTTTGTGGACGGGTCAAGTCAACGGTACATCTCTTAACTTTCTTCTAACCTTTTTGGGTCAATGCGTCTATGTACACCCCCCCCTCTCTCTCTCTCTCCAATTTGGTACCAGCAGCAAGGCATGCCATTTTCATTCTTCATGTTTTTTGGGGGCAAATTATACTGGTTTATTATCGTTTAATTTTTTAATTCACCCATTTAAATTCTTAAATTATCTTTTCAACTTTTGTAAATCATTACATCCAAAGTAAAATTATTTAACCGTAGTTTTTTTTATTTCACAAACAGATCATAAACAAAAGTAATTAGGATTTTTGGAAAAAAAAAATAGTATGAATGGTTCGTCGTATCATCCGATTAGAGTTGATCATTTTTTAAGTTCGATACGTGACCCGTATTAATCAATTTGTCCAAATTCGTTATATCACGATTGCGATCGATACTACGATCGTAGCCGATACTGTGAACTATGCTATAAATATCTTCAACTTCGCGTTTTGCTCGAAATCATGGATTGCAATGCAACATTGTTGTCTATTGTATTGGGTTCGACCCAAAAAAGAGAGAGCAGCGGATATTGGGTGTGGGAGCTTAGAGAGATACGAAAAGTTGGGGATTTGGGGTGGCTGAGCCAATACATGTGGTTTGTATTGATCAAGGGTAAAATTGTTTTTCAAAATATTCTGATTTTTTTGAACTAATTTTTCGAAATCATGGATTGCAATGCAACATTGTTGTCTATGGTATTGGGTTCGACCCAAAAAAGAGAGAGCAGCGGATGTTGGGTGTGGGAGCTTAGAGAGATACGAAAAGTTGGGGATTTGGGGTGGCCGAGCCAATACATGTGGTTTGTATTGATCAAGGGTAAAATTGTTTTTCAAAATATTCTGATTTTTTTGAACTAAAATTAATAAAATTTTGAAGTATAATACACATTTTTTTTGGGATGTTTGGATCCTTTTGGGTGTCAACATTATCATTTTGTGAATTACCCTTCTCTTTTTTTGGTGAGCATATTTTTCAATCTTAATCAACATACTCCTTTTAAGTTTTACCCCTCCGTGAATTGTAGCAAATTAGAGGCCACAGTATATTTGCATTCTTATACAAGTCGAAATGATTAAGTAGAAAATGTTTTTCACCGTAAACTAAAAACGGATAATCAGAGCCAAAAAAAAAACTAATATTATATATTTCTTCCGTCTCACAAAAAATATTTATTTTTTTATTTTTGACTGTTTTAAAATTATTTGTCCCATTTTTTCTATTATACTATTTTTTTAATATTCTCAATTTACTCTTATTGCCTTAAAATTATAAGAACAATTCAAGTTATGTGGACTCACCCCGTGTGGATTTATTTGAAATGTCATTACCTACTACTATACTTTGAAAAAATCCAATAAAAATTGTACACCTCCGTATTATAAAAGTGAGATGACATGATCTATTAGCATGACATGATATATGTTAACAAGTATGACAGCGATTAGGCAATAGTATATTTAATATGATATATATTAGTCATTTTAACTTTAATAGTATGTATATAGATGACATGTATTAACATGACATCTATTAATCAATATATATAATATTAGATAATACTCCAGATCTGTCCTAAGGTAGATGTGTGTCTTATATGCTATTGTGTCCCAATAGATTTGTCGAGTTTAACTCTAAGAAATGGGTATAACCCATATTTTGTATTTTTTTAAATTTAAAAGAGGTGCCAACCTCTTATTGAGATACATTAATGATGTGCAGAACAATTTGTCTTGATGGGGTAGGACAAAAACATTATCCTATAATATTACTTAATTATAGGCACTCTCTTTTTTACGATTGCATTACAATCTTAAAGGAAATAACACTTCTATCCTTAATTTTATAAATAAATAATTATTTTTTCTCAAATACCAAAATTACCCTTTTAAATATAGAAATATATATTTGTCTCACTCTCTCCCCCGTATTTAAGGTTTTGGTCACTTACGGTACTTAATTATTTCTCTACTTTGTATTAATTATATGCTCTATTTTAATTAGGATTTAATATTATTGCGCACATGGAGTATGTAAGAACTATCAAAACTTTATGAGCCATTCAATATCATTGATGACAATAGTGATTATAATTTTTTCTTTTATTTTTCTTTTCGTATTGTATTTTGAGTACGTTTAATTTTAATTTTTTTCCTTCCTGTGATTTTTAAGAATTAATTTTGAAATGTATTTAAATCTTGAAGTTTTTTTTGTTAGTGAGAAAAACGCTAAGTATTTTTGACAATAGAATTTCAAGAACAATACAACCTTTTTTAACTGACTGAATTTTTTCTTTTAACTCCCTTGCATTATTGATCACAATACAACCTTTTTGACTGACTGAATTCAAATAAAATTTCAGAGTTCTGTACATAAAGTTCACATCTTCGTCTGGTTTGTATTTCTTGGCTGGTGGCCCATCCATCCATAGCACCTACTGTAATTGTTATCCGAAAGAGGCGCACCCAACCCCCACGCCAACCCCTCTACGGTATTATTTTTGTTCAATTCATCAGGAAAAGCGATAAACTGGTTCAATGTATCTCTCTCTCTCTCTCTCCATAAAGTGGCGTTCCCAGCAAAAATAGTGCAGTTATACATTCAGTTGACTTAGTCAACCTACTCCTTTTAACCCCCCAAATTTGGGTCATCATGTAAATAGTTCTCGTTTTTTTTTTTTTAAACTGAAAGAAAATACCAACAAACCTTTTTAAAGACTGATTATTTAGGTCAACTGAATAAATTGACATTATTTACCTCTCTACTACTTTTCAACTTATTTAATGTTAAAGTCGATTTTTTTTATTTTTATTTTTATTTTTTATTTTAAGTCATTTATCTTATACGCTTATAGGCCAAATGAATGTAACATGATAAAAGATAAATATGATAATGATTGCTTGATTTTTTAGGTGGCATATATATATATATGATCGCCACCCAGTTACTGTTTGAACCAATTAATTGAAATTACCCCTTCATCACAATGAAAAAAGGGATGGGATGTGACAACTAAATGGTGGTTCCTGTTATATATATATATATATAAATGGCCAGTGTTAATTATAAACAATGCGATCACAACAGTTTTCAAAATCTCGTAAGAGAATCAAACCTAAACGTGTGTTCGTTCATACATGTGGGTCTATTACAATTTTACAACCATGTCTTTGCCAAATAATTAAGTCGTCATTTTTGAAAGTTATAATCAGAAAAATGATTGATTTGCTCTAAAATTAGGAGAAACCTCCTTTATCTCATGTTTCTACTATCCAAATTTATAGAAAAAAATTTAAGACTTGTTTGGTATGCGTTTTGTTTTTGTTGGGTAATGTTACTATTGTAACAATAAACAGTAAAAAAAAAATAAAAAATGCATTCTATCATAACAGTAACAATGAAAAAAAATGCATTTGATAAAAATTGTTTTATTTTGTATGGTGCTGAATAAAAGAAAAAAAAATGCAGCTTTGGTTAGTTTGTGAAACAAAGGGAATTAGAATGAAAAAGCAAAAGTAAAACATAAAAAAGGGAATATGGATGAAAAAACAAAAGAAGGAACAAAGACAGAGATATTGAGAAGATATAAAAGGCTAAAAATTAAAGAGCATACCCTTTTCACCTCCAAAAAGAACACACACTACTACTACTACTACACATTCCAAATCTTAGTTTCCTGGTAGTTTCACGATGGATGTTGACTTCAGCGGTAGAAGAATTCTTCAAGTGATGTCTATATATAAATATGCGTGTGTATATGTTCGAATTTTAGTGGTTATGATTTAGTGACTTGAATCCTACGCTCCTTTTCTTTCCTTTATGTTATAGATAGTGGAAGTGTGGCTACTTTCACTTAAAAACTAGTTATTAATGTCTATTTTCTGTCCCCATTAATTGAAATTTTGGTCCCTTGGGGCTTTGGTTGTTGGTTACTGCTATTCATATGGAGTACTTGGTCACATATTTTGCAATTTAATGTTAATTTATGTTTTCTTTGGTGATAGTCATCCTAATTGCGGTGGTTCATCATTTTCCTTTTTACCCTTTTGATTAAACACGTTGTTTCAATATATTGGAGAATAAAATAAAAAATACTAATCGAAATCCTATAAAATTAAAATATTGAATGAAAGCAGTGATTTTAGTTGTTGAGAGCGAATCACACATGGCTCACTCCACTCATTTTGAGAAGATATAATTAACGACCACGTGGTTACTGCTCATGCTCAAAACAAAGAACAAACACGGATCACACCTCACAACAATTGCGAAAAGGCTACAAAGGGATTCCACGTTCTTTGGATAAGGTCCACAACAAAAAGCAATACTCAATAGATACCTACCTAGTCTTAGTTTCCTCGTAGCTTCGAAATGTCGAATTCAAAACAACAACTACTATTAGAATGATGTTTTTGGCGGGTCATGTAACTGTGGACTTCCATCACTTTCTTTCCTCGCTCATAAGCCACTAAGCATATGCTGCTGCAGCAGCAAGTGAAATGTGACGATAATGTGATGATAATTGTATGTAATAATGGAAGATTAATGCATGAAGTATGTAAGAACTTTCAAACGGTAACAAATTGATAGTTTAAGGGGATTTCTTGTAGTTCGGGGGATTATTTGCAAAATGCCCATAATTAAGAGGTTTTTTTTGCACTTTACCCTACTCAATAAATACCTACCTAGTCTTAGTTTCCCCGTAGCTTAGAAATGTTGAATTCAAAACAACTACTACTATTTAGACTGATGTTTTTGGCGGGTCATGTAACTGTGGACTCCGATCCATCATTTTCTTTCCTCGCTCATAAGCCACTAATCACATGCAGCAGCAGCAGCAGCAAGCGGAGGTGTGCCTTTTCCAACTTAGTCATATCCTTGCATTCCGCGTTTGAGGCTTTCCCTTGGTTGACATCGTCACATGGCTATCCTTTTTGTTCATCCGCTCACTAATAATAAGCTATTGCCTTATGCTTTTTACTACTAGTATTTAAAATATCACTTTCATATTCCGCTTTAGTATTTAAAATATCACTTTCATATTCCGCTTTAAAATGGTACCATTTTATTATACATATACCTAAACTTCATATAGGTAATTATATGAAATCTAACAAGAATCTGCTTTTATTTGTGTGACTATGGGCCAAAATGGCACGCACAAGATCTCATCACGTGTAAAAAGAGAATAATATATTATTTTGAAAATTTTCGCTGCATAAGTGGCTTTTGTGCATATGAACCAGGATTAGTGGTAGCTTTTGCAAATTGAAGCGAAGGATGAGGCAAAATTAGGAACTTGGGTGGGATATGATATATGGATGCCCAAAAAAACTGTTGTGGGCCTGATGCCAAGTGTAACTAAATATTGGGCCAGACTCGTAGCCAGACCCATATGGAGATCGAAAAAGAAAAAGAAGAAAGCGATAATTGCCATATTAATTACTTCATATTTTTTTAGGTTTTAATTTTGAGATTGTAGAGGCGAAGCATTTGTTATGCATGTTGATTGAATCGATAATGCAAAGAATTACTAGCTTGAATTTAATATATTATAGTTCAACTCTTGAATTTAAGAGTGTACACAAATAAAGCTTGTGATGATAGTACAACAAAGAAAATCGACTTATCGCATTTTATACATGGTGTATTAATAAAGTTTAATCACTCACCATCATAAATCACATTAATAATCCTTCCTCCTCACTTTCTCTCACCAATTTAATTAAGTTTAATCACACACAGTGGACGGACCAATTAGATTTTTGTCAGATTTGGTTGGATAAAATGGTTGACCAACAGAATCCTACAAAAGGGTTGGTATTCGTATTGGTATTACAATTAAACATATAAGAGAGGTTTATTGTCTTGTCAAACATAAAAGTTTTCAATAATGTTAAGTCTTTGTATAGATAGAAAAAATGAACAAATTAATTAAACATGAATAAATGATGAATTATATTATCATTTTAATTACATTGAAATTGAAAGACACAGCTCATAAATAAATCCTAGGAGTATGGTTGCAACCACTGGTCAGCATCAATGAAAGACACATTAAGAAAAGGAGAAGCTTGTGTGTCATTGAGTCTCTGCAAATAAGGCACCCTCATTGTCACATTAGCTCCTGCTCCTGAGCACATGTACTCACCATAGAAAATAGACCTGTGTGTTCAAACCGCTTAAATTAGTTTCATGATCGAGTACTTGATCAACAAGGATTCATTTAATTCATTAGTCATTAACGAACAAACTGAAATTAGTAAATAATTTACTGGTCTCTTGTAGGGTCATTGAAGTCATTCCATCCCTCTGGCGCGATGATATCGGACATGGTTGTGTATGCAAAGATGACTCTGGAGAAGGGCCTCCATGCTCGGCCTAGCCATATTCTTCCAGTCCCTCCCACCGTGCAGTTGACGAATGCATACCCGCTATCTTCATCATTGGAAGATCTCCCATGTGCTGTAACCGCTCCATTTATGCCCTTGGATCCCACAGCTACGGGATTGGCTATAGATATCAGCTGGCAATTCTGCAGGTACGTAATGCAGTTTTTAAGAATTCTAAAAACAGAAAAACATTCCCAAATAACAAATATAACAGAATTGGACCTTTTTATTAACTATGTTGTCAAAAAAAAAAAGATTTTGAAAAATCAACCAAGTGAATTTTCAAACTATTTTCTTGTTTTTTCTTCTTGTTTTTCATTTCCAAGTAAAACTAAACCAAACACTCCCCAAAACTAGCTTCATCTCTTTCATCGATTACAAATCACATTTGCATGAACAGACAAGCTTCTCAAATTAAGGAGGACATCCGGGCTATGTCCCATGAATTAATGCCAACTTTTCTAAGTCGAAGACATTCCACGACAGGCGGGTCTCCCCTCCCATCTTTCTCTGGGTCAAGTGAAGACAAAGAACAATTCGAGCCGGGAAAGACACATCATTATATGGGGCAGACTTCAGAACATCCTCCGAAGTGGTTCATTTCATTTTCGTTTCGAAGAAAATCTTTCCTTTCAATATGAAATAAAAGGCTAAAAAGTCTTCCCTTTTTCTCCGAATGGTGTAACCTTGTGAGGGATTCGAATTGTAATGACCCACTCCACCACATGGTATGATATTGTTTGCTTTAGGCCTGAGCCCGCACGGTTTTGCTCTTGGGCTTCACCCCAAAAGGCCTCATACCAATTGGAGGTGACACACTTACATATAAGCACTTCACCTCTACTCTATCCCGGCAATGTGGGACTATGCACCCGTAGCTCGCCAGTGTGGTAGCTTGACAGTGTCTCTCGCACCCGCCCACGGCACACCCGCCCACAAGGTCATCACACGAATGGTGCCGTATTTGCCATCTGCACTCACAGGTCCGTTTTGATACTTTCTTTTTTGCCCTTTTGGATTGACAATGGAGACAAATTGATCGGCTATCGGCATAGGATACTCATCTTTTGGGGTTGCCGATCAACGTTCTAGCTTGATAGTAGGCAATTTGTGAAATGTGTGTGAGTACTTATGTTTTATCCATGACAATGTACAAATTAATGCTTAAAAATTCAAATTAACATGAAAAGTTTAAGGTATAGTTTCTAATCTCCATGTTTCAGGTGTATAGTGTCTCCATAAATGTCTCTAGTGGACTGAAACCGCAACTCTAGGTAGCATTCAGCCAATTAGGTTCCGTGTTTTGAAATTGCAGCCTATATATATAGTAACATTGGATGATGCACAAGCATATATTTCAGCAAGAACATAGAGTTAAAATCACAGCAATTAGAGGTTGCTCATAAGCCAAGATACAGCATATATATACATAGTATATATATTTAATTTAGTACCTCATAAAATGACTTTCCATTGCCGAAGATGAAATCAATTGAACCTTGAATATAACATTCCTTGAAGTAATGGCGACCCCTATCGTCATGAAGAGTGTCCTGAGCTCCAAAGAATCCACAACCCCAGAAGGCAGCTTGGTCTCCTCCTATTCTCATGGCTACTGCTTGAGCTCCAACATCACCCGGCTTCGGTCTTGGGGCTACATTCTAATATAATAAGATATACATATATAAGAGAACATGTAAGTTTTATATATGTAAGTGAGAATTAAATCAATGGTTGATAATGATATTATTGTTTGAATATATATTATATCTCACCATGAAACTTATGTTCTTAGCAATGAAGTTGGTAGCAAAAACTTGGATAGAGCCACTGTAAAATGTGCCGTGGGCAGAATTGGCTGTGTCATTCCACACAATTGCAGTAGAAGTATACCCTTGTCCTTGGAATGTGATATTTGGTTTGGTTCTTGGAACAATGACTTTCTCACTAAAGTTGATATATCAAAGCCATGCAGTGACAAAAAGTAATGATCACTAGTATGAAAAATATTCAATTGAAAAAGAAAATCTTGAGAGAAAAAAATTGAAGGGAAGACCAATTAATTAACTTACAAGTAAATGCCACTGTTGATCCATATTATGGTTCTTTTCTGGCTAAGAACTCCAACTGCATCAACTGCAGCTTGCACAGTTGTGAAATTACAACACCCTTTCCAGTCAACACAAATAATCGACGTCGTGTTAGTGGCTGGAGGTGGAAAATCAGGTGGAAAATCGTCGCAATTTGATGCTATTGTTTTATTAGGATGACGACGACGATGGTGATGCCCTCCAAGACTTTTGTATGGTACTAGTGTTGATATTATGGTTGATGGGAAGGTGGCGAGAGTAGTAAAATCAATGAGGCAGTTGAGGAATGGTGAATCTGGAGTGATGAAATGTTTGGATGACAAAGCTGCAAAAATGGCAATGAGAAGAGTGAGTGACATGCTTTTGAGACTCATTTTGTGGCTGATCCAAATAATAGTTGAGAGGGTATATATATATATATATATATATATATATATATATATGGACAATTTTGAATTTAAGAGGTAACAAAATATATGCACTTGAAGCATAAGGGTTGATGGCATGTCTTGCAAACCACTCTGCCCCTGTTTATTCTTGGGACAATTCCCAACCTACCAAACTTGAGATGGGAAATGCTTGAAATACAAAATGTTAGTGGGTTGTATTGAATAATTTGGACCTTAATTGGATCACCATGTCCAACACAAGCCCAATTCCTAACTTGGAATTTATGTGGAATTTAAAACCTCTATGTTGCTTAGGCATAGCCTATGGACTCATCTGCTAAGTTACTATCCAATTCAAAATTAACTTACTTTAGTTTCGCCATCATCAAATATACGACTAAGTCTGCAATTGAGTGTGCATAGCTCATGAAATTACTAGTAGGTCTAGCTTCAATTCAGGTTGGTCTCATCTTAGTATTGAAAAAGATTAATATCTTTAATTGCTGTATTTTTTTCATCTAAGCAAGACAAATATCTCTTTTTAGTGCCTGATGAAGAAATTTTGTGGCCTCTTCTTTATTTTTTTGGGATTGTTTTTAGGTGAAAACTTTGTTTGAAGATACTATTGAATTGAATTCAATTGGTTTAAACCATGTTGTATTATTTTTCAAGTCAGTTTTATTTATTTAAGGATTTAAGCATTTCAAAATGGTGACTTTCACTATAAGAGGAGGCTGCAAAATAAATTACAAATATATGTAATTATCATTAAATCACACCTAATTTAAATTCAAATGTTTTTACGTGTAAAATTTACAACATTCACGTTTAGATCCAAATAATCACTGTACCAACCGTGCTGATCTTTCGCAGCCTTGATCTTCATAATACTGCATAAAGAAATTCAATTTAACTTTGAAGGAACATTTTCATTGATGAATTGATGAAAAAGGCAATGACGACCAAAATGCTGGCAATGACCCCCCAAAAAAAATAATAATAACAATAATAATAAAATAAATAAAAATAATAAAAACTAGATGACAAGTGTCGGCTTGAATGGGACTAGGAGAGATGTCCTTAGGCCCAACAAAGTGGACCATGCTTAATCTACTACTAATTACTACTAATTAGAACATTGAAAATTAGTAGGGCTTAAATGACCCAAAAAGCTAAAATTGATTTGCGTACACACACATAAATACGTATAGGATGGGGGTCCATCCAAGTTGCCGCCAGATTAGGACCTTAATAATAATATAAATTAAGGATAAAGAGAGTACATATGGTGTGTTTTAATCAATCCATATGTAATATGCTTTATTGTGAATAAATCAATTGTGTGGTCACTGTAATAAGGTTGAAATTACGAAACCGTAATAATGTGATTCCGACTAAACAAACATTGATGTAATCTTAGCCAATCAGAAAGCATCCATATAAAATTTAATTTAAGCAAAGATTAAAGAGAATATATTTGACTTTTCTAAAGTTAATTTTTCTCCTTTTTCATGCCAATGGTCCCAAAATGACTTCACATTCACCTCCTCTTTCCCACCCCCATTTGATGTCGCTTTCAAATCAATCATTTTCAATGAAATGTTAATTGGAAAATGAGAGAAAAAATATATATATAATTTTTCGTGCCAGCTGAATTGAAAATACTTTAATCTTTTATAGATTCTCTGAATCAATACGATATATTCTTTTTTCTCTACAGAAAGAAATGAGAAAAAAAAAAAAAAAAAAATTAATCATGCCAGCTCAATTAAAAATGCTTTAAGCTTTTTATAGACTCATTGAATTAACATGGTACATTTTTTTTCCTTACGGAAAAAAAAAGATAAAAAATAAATAATATAATCATGCCAGCTCAATTAAAAATGCTTTTAACTTTTGTAAACTCTTTGAATCAACATGATACATTCTTTTCTTTTATATATATAAAAAATAAAATAAAATAAGCGATAAAAAAGGTAAAAATAAAAAAACTTGTTATGGCAGCTGAATTAAAAAAAACTCTAGGTTTTTATAGACTCTTTAAATCAACATGATACATTCTTTTTTCACACCAAAATTTGAGTCTTGGAATTGAAATTTGAAAAAAAAAATTGGTTCAATTTTCTTAGTTTTTTTCAAATTTCACCAATGCTAATTTCAAGGTTTCAATTTCATACAACTAAACACATTCTAAAACTCCAATTTAGTGCAGCCGAATACACCCTAAACATTTTTTTTTTTTATTAAAGTAAGAAAAATTATGTGTTGGTGAACTTCGATTCCCAAATTATAAAAAACCATTTTTTTCAAATAAAAAAAAAAGCCAACTTTGACCTTCTCATGCAAGAAAATAGGTACAAAATAATAAATAAAAAAATAATAATAAAAAAACAACTCAACTTCAAGCTTCTCAAATAATTAAGAAAAATGGTAGATTAATAATGACTAATGAGCAAGTTTGTGAAGAGGATGCCTTTAGTGTACATGCTCACACACTGTTGTCAAAACATTAGGCAATAGATATTACATGGAAATGAAAGAAAGGGTTTCAAGCTGATTAAGAAAATAATCAAGGAAACAACATTAATTACCAATACAATTTTTTTTTTTTTTTGGCAAATTTTTACCAATACAATAAGATTTAAAAATAAAATAAAATAAAATAAAGTGGAAGATAAACATCACATGGCGCCTAACCTAATCCTAGTATTGCTGCTATCAAGTGTTATTAAGAAAATATGTACATTGGTCAATAGTTGTCCACCCCCAATGCAAAAGTCAGTACCTAACTCTGTCTCTCTCTCTCTCTCTGATGTCCTTTTTTTTTTTTCTCTTTTCGAAAGATCTCTCTCATGTCCTTTCTCAGAACATGTAATTGTTACTTTGGGTGTTTTCATTGGACGATGAAGTTCTTGGAGGCACATGGGCCGAGATAGTCTGCATGATAAACCCATGATCAGAGACATCCATGTTGGGCCTTGAATTGCTTAGTGAAAGCATGTAATCCTGAGGTTGCTGATGATGATGATGATGATGATGGTACTGTTGTTGTTGCTGGAGCTGTTGTTGGAATTGTAGTTGATATCCAGCAGCTGAAGAGCCCATAACTGCCCTTGGATTGACTGTTTGTTGACTAGCACTCCCAAGCCCAAAGTTGAAGTTTGTGGCACCACCACCATGGTGAGACCCTGGTGCGAAGTGTGGGCTCGGATAGCCCGTGAACTGTTGGACCATGGCTCGGAAGTTTGTGGTGTCTGTGTTGAGTAGGGTAGTGGGTGTCCTCCTGGAAGCCCTAGACCTTCTTCGGATGGGTTTGGCCACTCGGCCTTCTGGGCTCAGGTGACTACCAGTTGGGCTTATACTGCCCGACCCCTGGGTGCTGGTGACCACGGTGGATTCGGAGGCGGCTCGGCCACCGAACATGGTGGTGGAAGGGTTGTCATGGCCTCCTGCTGCTGGTGAAGGGTAGAAGTGTGCCCAGTCACTAGGACTTGACATGGTTTCACTCATGTGAGAGAATTGAGAAGAGAGAGAGCTCATATGTCTCTCTTTCAGACCTTTTTTTGAGTATTTGCTTGGAAGAGAGAATGAAACATGTTGTTGTGTGATTGTTATTTATGGTGAGCTACCAATCTGGTCAAATCAAGACTTTTCTTTTTCTTTCTTTTTTTTTTTTTTTTTTTGGTAAAATTAATTGGGAGGATTGTTAAGATCCACGACCCTTTATCTCTTGGAGGTGGCACGTGGGATGAGAATGGCTTGGCAGGTTCTCGGAAGCAACAACAGCTTTTTGAGCACGTCATTCTCGGATGCCACGTCATGACTTACGACTTAGAGAGAGTGGGTGGGTGGGTTGGGTTGATCACTGAGATGACTTTGGTTGGAGTCTCGGGAAACAACCCGGAAACCTCCCAAACTGATATTTGGGCACTCCTAATGTCATTTTCTTAAGTGAATACGTTATTAGTTGGGGGTGAATATGTGAATTTTTTTTAAGGTCATAGTCCAAGTTAATATTAAGTAAAGAAACAAAATTAAAGTTAACCGTAAGTTGAATTAGTAAAAACAAAATATGATAGGATGTAAATTATCTGAGATTATGACAAAGCAAAATAAAAAAATATAATTCACATAGATGAGTCTAAATAATTAAAAAATACTTTATTGTCGTTGTACTATTATTGAATATGTGAATTCCCAGAGTGAAAAGTGAAATTGAGATTGATTATGTGGAAAGTGAATATTTGAATTACCTATAGTGAAAAATGAATTTAAAATTGGACTAGCTGTATTAAGTTTCTACTTCTTAATGAGATATTAGATATTCAAGTCTTAATAGAGACATGGGTATAGGCATGTCAATAGATCGGATTCGGATTGGATCGATCAAATCCATATTCGATTTGTAAAGCAAACGAATTATCGGATTCGGATCACTAACAGGTACTCAGACTGAATGTCCCAATCCTTATCCTATTTAGTTTGGACTCGGATCGAATCAAAAACATAATTTTAATTCAAATTCGAATTAAAATCATAATTACTAACATATATAAATTATAAAGAGTATGATATTATTTGTATGTATATTAAGAGAGTTATTAACATGTGAATGAAAACACCACACTATTGTATATATAATATTATAATTTTTTTTTTTTTTGAATTACCTCTAATACAATTCTAATAGATATATATATATATATATATATATATATATATATATATATATATATATATAATTTTAATCGGATCGAATCAACATAATCCATATTCGATTTGTTAAACTAAAAGATTATCGGATTAAGATCGTAATCGTGTTATCGGATTTTTTGTTCAATCCATATTCGATTAATCGAATCGAATTTAAATTGAATTCGGACCAAAATTCATTCCATTAACAAGTCTACATGGGTATGTGAGTACCACCTATAAAAAATAATAATAATAATAATAAATAAATAAATAAATAAAGGAAAAGGAAAAGAAAAAGTAAGCGAACTTAGAATTGATGATGTGAAAAGTGTTTTAACAACAAATGACATTATGTATGCACATGTCAATGTGATAGACTCTGTATTTATATATGTTAGCTTCACGCTGTCGTATATAAATACTCACAACATAGGACGACTTCTGTACCATTATCCTTATTATACTTTTTAACCGAACCCTGATTTCTTTTTTCTTTTTAAAGCTTTAGTACTATTATTCAATGTTTGTTTATCATCCAAGGTAGCAAGAACCTACTTTTACCTTCTTTTAAAGTGAAAAGATGAGAATTCAATGTATTTGAAAATATTAATTTCTTAGCAAAGAAAAAGAAAAAGAAGTTCAATTATTGGTCAGTGACCCAATGATACCACATATGATACCACGAAGCAAACAGAAAAATTCATTACCTTATTAAACAAAAAAGAAATAAAAAGAAAAGAGAATACAATGTTCTATAATTTTTCGTCATATTTATGAAAAATTGAATCTACCATGTTCACACTCAAACTCAAGCTTGGCCTTGAACACGCATGGTTGGAGCTGAAGCTACAGTTTAAACGCTCTACTAAGCTACTTATATTTTATTTATGAGTGTGCGAATGTATGTGCCAATGTACCCATATACGGATATACCGTTCTTCTAGAACTTACTACAAAACTTGTACATGAATAGATATCACTAATAAACGAATGGCCTAATCCAGCTCAAGTATGTGTATTATATTCACTATAGTCAGCATAATTAGTTTAAAAAAAATAAAATAAAATAAAAAATAACTTATTTGTCAGAAAATCAATTTCAAGAAGAAGTCATAATTTTAATAGAAAAACAAAATTCCATCACAATCATAAATGAATAGAAAAAGAATCGGCATAGAAGTCTAGGATGAATGTTATATATAGAAACATATTTGCACACAAACATATATCACGTGGACATTTCTTCTCTTCCTGCCGATGAAGAAAAGGATTTGGTCATTGTAAAAAGAGAGAGAGAGTGTAGTCAAAGAAGGGAACGTAGTCAAAGAAGAACAAGTTAGAAAAGGACTGTTAAGAGCAAGATACATCGGAGATGATCATTTTGTTGAATGCCCATCTGACCCCGCACGTTGGTTTTGACTGACCGACTCTCTCTCTACATCTCTCTCTCTACCTGTCTCTTTGCGCGAATTAAGGCATGGCTTGACTGTCCTGCATCGACCTGACGACTCTGCTGCTGTAAATTAAGACAGCAATATAAACCAGTCTGGTTTATACAAGTATGGTTATTTTTATTTCACTTTCTTTATTTTTGGTATTGTCCAAGGGTTTTTTTTCGTATTGTTAAAATTAAGAGCGACAAAATAGGTCAGAAATTATGGGTCAGAAATTATGGGTCAAGATGAGTTGGATAATTTGTAACCATTTAATTTGAAAGTCAAGATAGGTTGAATATGGTTAATCATATTCAACCCATATTTTACCCATCACATAATAAACACGTAACACACATTTATTTTATATTGCACTTTGCTAATTTCACTTTCTAAAATTCTCTCTCTCACAATCTTCTCTCTCTAAATTTGTTTCTTATCAATCAACTCTCTCTATAATCTTCTTCTAAAAAAAATTAATAATTAAAAAATAATTTTAAAAATTTTAAAAAATAAAAATTTTAAAACCTTTTGAAAAAAATAATTTAAAAAAATAATAAAAAAAATTTAAATAATAATAAAAAATATATATATATTTTAAAAAAATAAAAAAAATTACTATTATAGCGTTGGGTGGCCCCATTCCCACATTCCTCCTACTCCTCTGCCCTCTCACGTTATTCATTACCTCAGCCATTTGCATAGAAACATAATTTGTTAAATAAGTACATAAACATAACATTTTCAATTTAAAGTATTCAACTTTTTATTTTTGAAAAAAATTAACATTATACACATATGATGAAAAGTTAAGCATTAAATAATATTTTTTTATTTAAAATAAAACCACCATGACAAAGTAGTAGAATAACTGTTGTATGATATAAAATTCATTATAAAAAAAAAAAAAAAATTAGTATAAAAATTACCTAATAACAATGCATGCATCATTTAAAAAATAATAAATAATAAATAATTAATTAATTAATCCACCTACTTATAAAATTGCTGATAAGAAATTGACCCACCCAAACACAGTTATCCGCAATTTTATAAATATGTCACTTTTTTTAAATGCTCCCCTTAAAGGGAACACATGGATGTGCTTTAAACTTTCCTTTTTTTTTTAATTATAAAATAATAAAGTAATAATAATAATCCAACTACTCCAAGCTCATTTCACACCCATAGTTGATAAATCTTAATTTCATAAATTGGAGGAAAAAAAAAAAAAACACCACCAATAATAAACTCTTTCAATCAGAAGTAATTAATAAACTCTAACTTCATAAAGCTCCAAGAAAGAAAGAAAAGATAAAGAAGCGAAATTACACTACCCAAAACATAAACTCTATTTTTAATATTCAACATCTCCGTGCCCAGTTCACAATTCACACCATATATATAAACCCTTTCCGTAATTGAAAAACCCTAAGGAAGCAAAATTAGAGTCCCAAACACTGATGACATTACAACTGTGCACCAGCAGTAGCGATATCGGCCACAAATATATATAAACCCCATATATATATATATATATATAAACCCTAACTTCATAAACCCAAAATATATATATATAAACCCAATCAATTAAAAAAAAATAACTTTATATATTTATTTATTTATTTATTTGTAAATGTCTGGCACTTATTAAAAAATTAAAAATAATAATAATAATTAATGGATCCACGGGTCATAACGGGTTGACCCTGCCTATTTTCAACCCGTTCTGAAAGGGTTAAATATAGGGTCTTGACCCATGTTGACCCGCCAATTTTCAACCCAACCCGAACCCGGCTCAACCCGCTCATTTGCCACTCCTAGTTAAAATTTAGGGTAAAGTACACTAACACCCCCTGAGGTTTGGCACAAGGGCAGAGAGATGAAAGTTGTCATGCTCTTGGACAATCACACCCCTTTAAGTTTGATAAAATGGACAAAGACACCCTGACAATGGTGAATTGACTTTATTACCCTTTGATAAAAAATTGACAAATACAATGGACTTAAATACCCTTGAACAAATAAGTGTAAATGGACTTAAATACCCTCTTCAGCTCTGTCACCAACCCAAACACACCCCTCTGCAACACATTTCTCATAAATCTAATGAAGTTTGGTGAATTCGAGAAAACCCTTTTGGTATACCAAGAAATGTTCTTGAAATCAATGTACCCAGATGAATATACCAAAAGGGTTTTCTCGAATTCACCAAACTTTAATACATTTCTGAGAATTGTGTTGCAGAGGGGTGTGTTTGGGTTGGCGACAGAGGTGAAGAGGGTATTTAAGTCCATTTAAACTTATTTGTTCAAGGGAATTTAAGTCAACTGTATTTGCCAATTTTTTTTTATCAAAGGGTAATAAAGTCAATTCAACATTGTCAGGGTGTCTTTGTCCATTTTATCAAAACTTAAGAGGTGTGATTGTCCAAAAGTAGGACAACTTTCATCTCTCTGCCCTTGTGCCAAACCTAAGGGGGTTTTAATGTACTTTACCCTAAAATCTATAAATTTGCATATATATATAGATATAAATATATAAAAATAGTATCCTCATGATTGAGATGTTCTGCTTCATTTCAATATATTTTTTGTTTTCAGCAACATGGTCTAAAGGCCTATAAACTAGTCTAAATTGAGAAGACAAAGTATGCACTAAATCTAGGTTTATATATGTCATAGAAACTGTGGATAAAAGTTACATGAACTATTAAAAGACCAACAAAATGAGAGTGATAATAAAGGTGCAGTTTTCTAAAACAAAGTATAATTCATGGGATGAAACACTGGTACTATTCGATTTCAAAAGGATACTGAATTTCAATATTTTAGAAAAATGATGAATTGTTATACAACAAATTTGAGACTTTCTGAATAATTACAAGGGAAGCTTAGCAATTAGGAGATTTGAAATTATTCACTAAAACTGAGATTCGAGAAGTCATCCAAAACTTACCTATCAGAAAGGACTTCGAATATGACATATTTCTTGTTCTTCAATGTAACATCACCAAACACGCGTTGAAAGAGTTTCCAATGGTGGAAACCCCTTCTGCCAAATTCCTTCCACATGCTACCTAAAACAATATATTGAGCAAAATGTGAGGTAAAGCCAAAAAATATTAATACTAAGAGGAATTTAATTACTTTCAAATATATGTGAAAAATGGATCACATCTTATAATCAAGTGAATCTGAAAAATAGCCAGATTTTGTAAATCAGTACGTTTGGCATGGCATATAAGGTTTTAATACGAGTGTTTGCCCAAGTAGAATTTACAACAGTCCATACAAATAGTTTCATGTAAATAACCAAACCGAATGTACCAAATTGATAATTATAACAACTATCCAGTAGGACATGAATGCCTTTGCTGAGCACCTTCCACTGTATTTCCCATTAGTAGGCAGTAGAAAACTGAACAATCACAAGGAAAATTGCAAAAAAAAAGATCCATTGCATACTTTTAAACAATATCTAAGAGATCGTCTGCCTTACATTCCCTATTTTTCAGAAGGTAACATCAAAATCCATAATTTGAGCATAAGCTAACTTTACAAGAACATAGACATGCTTGCAAACAATGACCTATGCAGTCTAATATGCCACAAAAAACAGCAACTCATTCAATGAATAAGAACGAACTTGGTACTTGAAATACCATACACGAATGAAATATCTTTCAGTCTCATTTTCCACATTAATCACCACAGAATAGAACCAATAAACAGCACTTATCTTCGGGTGGGTTCAACTCCATTCCCTATATATCATCTAGTTGAACACACAAACACACAAATTATGCATAAATGCATAACATTCAAAGAAAAATTTTGTAGGCTGTCCCATCACCTTATCCTCTGAATACAGGTATTGCAATATATATATATTTTTCCTAAATCAGGTGTTGCAATTTTGACTGAAGCTTATACTATAGAAAACATTTATATACATATCTCCATAAATTCATGAATTGAGCACTTCTGACTCCGTAAACCTAAAGTTACGGCAATGACAATCATTTAACCATCAGGAAACATTTTAAAACCCAATGAACCATCCTAACAAATAACCAAGTTATATTTCATTATAAGCGATAGTTGTGTGTATTTCCAGTTTCATCTCTTCTTTTTTTTAAGTCGTAACTCATAAGTTATATTTCATTAGCGGAAAGAGAAATGCAACTACAAGAAACCTTCCTTTGTCTTTATGGTAAGCAATCCATTTTGAAACATAGTTGGGGACCTTCGAAGAGCTCTTACAAATCTCTCTCCAGCCCAAGTGAAAGGTAAGGCTTGAAATAGAGAAGGTTTGACCCAAAATCCAATCCGAAGTCAAGTTTAGCGGATTTGGTTTTTAATTTTGAGTCTAAATTTCAAAATGTATCCATTACAGATCCAGGTCAGGTTTGGAAATTAGTAATTCTGAAATGGATTGGGGTTTAACCGGGATCTGACCAAATTCAGGTATATTTTACTTTAGTAGGACCTTGTTTGGATTATATTGGTCAGATATGGATCGTGTATATGGGATTCGATTTGGATTCAGTTATGGATTTTGACATCAAAATATGGATCTGAATCCAGATTCACATGAATCCGCTTCATTTCACCTCCTAGTGGCAGTTTCTCTCTCTCTCTCCCCTCTCTCTGGGTAGAATCAAGTTCAGTTGAGTAGGGGTTAGTTGTCTGCTATAAGATGGCCCGTTTTCGGAAGACCAATAGGCTAAACCCAGACGCACACACCATTAAGCTAGATCCTCAAACTGAGAGATGTAGCCAAACACGTATTGTCATAAATAATATTCTCATACAACCAGAGAGGATAGACAAAAAGAAACAAGCTAACAACACGATAAGCACTGGCATTGAAAAGAATTGGTTAAACTGACAAGCAAACAAGACAGCTGTAAAATGTTAGACTTGTAAACTAAGAAGTACAGTTTGCCACATATGTTAAAATGTTTGACATAGAAAAGAAGATTCTTTTCTGAAGAGTTTGCACATTTACTAGGGGTCATTACTTGGTGCTAAGCTGAAATCTTGGACTGCCAAGCATGCGAAAGCGAGTTTAAGTCTGAAAGTAGTCACTTTGAGTGAAATAATACAAAATGTAAATTCAGTATCCAGTTTGTTCCTCCCCACATCCTATATAGGAGTGACCAACACTAGGCAATAACTTTTTCTTGTAGTGGGTGCTCTATAGCTCACGCAATCAACACTTTGGGTCCAGATTTACCATTAATCCACTCTCTCAATTTCTATGTTTTCGAATTGGGCTCACTAGTGGACTCAGCTTTGCTATTATTTTATTGAAAGCTACATGAATTGGGCTCACCAGACACTGTTTTGCGTTTCATGTCCACCTAATTTCCAGATTTGCATGTATATGCCTAGGGACATTATGAAAATGTTGAAGTGCGAGATACAAAAACTGAACCCTTGACTATATCAAAGAATATGTTGTGCTGTTACCACCACGCAAAATCATGTTTTTAAGTACATATAATCAATTAATATATAAACAATATGGAGACGATATCGCTCTCACCAAATTTTGGACATTGACTCATGCTCCCACTCTTGCTCTGGCTTCTGCTGCTGCACAGTGCGACTTAGGTCATGTCTTATAAGTGGCCCATATCCATGCTCATGTTCTAGAGGTACAATAATAATAATAAAAAGGGTAAAGTGCAAATAAAACCCTGCTATATAAAAAATGTGCAAAAAACACCCCTGCTATTTAGCATATATATATAATCTCTATAATTTGAAAACTTGTTGCAAATTGCCCCGATTGTCAATCTTGAACAATCTTTTGTTTTTATAAAACCCCCAAAATGTATTTTGTACAAAAAAAATTTGTTTTTATAAAACCCCCAATATACCAATCTTCAAATTGAAGAATTGTCCTTATTTGCTCAATTTGGAAAATGTAGGGAGTTTTTTTAACAGCAGGGGGGCAATTGCACATTAGGTATATAGCAAGATTTTTTTTTTTTTTTTTTTTTTTTTTGCACCTTACCCTAATAATAATAATAATAATAATAATAATAATAATATGTTCCCTAATTTAATTTGATATGTCTGTGCCATGTCAAATCAATGTGTTTGTGCTCTACAAAGATAACACAATAATAAGACAAAGAACAACAACAACAACAATAACAATAGGAAGTTCAAGGAGAAAGCAAAGCGAGAAACTTGTAATTAAAGGACCCGTATAAAATTAGGCTAAAGAGCTAAAGTATAGAAACTTAACAGCGAATCTGCACATAACATATGAAATAAAGACCCAATTCTCCATGGGGTGTTTCTTATAAATCAAAAATTATTGAACAGAAGACAAGACTGCAGAGCCGAATGTTTATAAAGAATTTATGTAACTGACCTGAAAATTTGGTATTAGACTTTTTTGAGTTGATTGAATGATCTCATTCGACCTATGTCAGCTCAGACCTCATTGCTCCATGTCCACCTGAAAACTGACATTTACAACACTGAAGCATACTGTTCCACCATATATGATGCAGATGGCCTTGGGCAACATCCACCGACAAATGACACTGATCTGCTCTACAAATGGTATTGGCTTAAATCACAAAGCCTCAACCACCAGCCATCCATCAACCAAGGCAATAGCAATAGCCAGTGGAGTACATTTCATGAAGTGATTAGTCTCCCAGTTGTAATTCCATAGGCCATCCAAATGGAAAAAGAGGTTTTATCATTCCTCAGATTCAGAAATCCAGCCTATATGCGAATCAAGACGAGGCCTGTACCCAGCATCTTTGATATTTATAGTTAAATCTCCCAACATATCATATATATCATCACATTGAGGGTGCTTTCGATCTCTAGATGCAAAAGAGTTCACATACCCAGCTAAATCAATCCTACTGCAGCCAACCTCCTTCATCAAACCTTTCTCCCGCATGCCCCTTCTTACTCTGTCAACATACTCCCAGTTTCCTTCCTCTGCATACATATTTGACATCAAAACATGATAGCCTGCCATGCTATTTCCCCTCTCCATATCAAGCAGCTTATTGGCAACAATTTTTCCCAACTCAAATTCTCCATGAATTCTGCAAGCTGCGAGAAGTGATCCCCAAATTCCCAATATATTACCCTCTTCACCTAATTTTTCAACAAACTCATAGGCTTCCACCACCCTCCCAACTCTCCCTAACATGTCTGCAACACAACAGTAGTGCTCAGGTGAGGGCCGAATCCTGTATTCATTTTCCATTGATTCAACTATTTGAAGGCCCTCATCAACCAATCCAGCATAACTGCAAGCAGACAAGACTGCAACAAATGTAATTGCATCAGGTTTAATACCAGATTTCCTCATTGAGTGAAAAAGTGAGAGTGCTTTCTCACCCATCCCATGCTGACCATAACCCAATATCATGTTGGTGAATGTAACAGAATTTCTCTCAGGGGAATTAGTAAACACGTTTTCAGCATAAGTGATTGCACCCAATTTTGAGTACATGTCTACCAGAGCAGAGCACACAAAAATGTTTTGGTCCAACGAATTCCGAATGGCAAAGCCATGGAGTTGCTTACCTAGAGTCATACTTCCCATTGGATTGCAGGCAGGGAGAATTGATGCGAAGGTTACAGCATTGGGTGTCACATTTTCCTCAAGCATCTGCCTAAAGACAATAAAAGCCTGCTCAATTAACCCATTTTGTGTGTTCCCAGCAATCATAGCATTCCACGTGGCTTGATCTTTGTCAAGAATGCAATTTTTCTCAAAAAGTTTTTGTGCCACTTCAATCAAACCAGATTTAGCATACATGTCTATGAGATAACTTTCCATTCCTGCAAATTGAATACCATGCCTAAAAAGATAAGCATGGGCTTGTCTTCCAATTTCTTGGTTTCTTAGATTTGATGCTGCTGAAAGTAGAGCAGTTATTGTTACATAATCAATAATGAACCCTTGCTTCTGCATCTCATACACAAGCATCAACCCTTCATCATCTAACCCATTCTGCACAAAAGCAGAAACCATGGTATTCCAGGAAACAACATCTCTTTCCTGCATTCTACTGAATACTTCAAATGACATCTCAATACAGTTACACCTTGAATACATGACAATTATTGCATTCAGTACAATGACACACAATGCCAATGAATTCTTAATTGTACACGCATGTAGCTGTTGAGCAAACTCCAACTGCTGTAACTGTGAAGCTGCCGTTAGAGCTGAGAGAAAAGTCACATTATCCAGAAGAATACTGTGTTCTGATTCTAGAGCTTTCAGAAAAAAGCCAATTGCTTCAAGTGGATGATTTTTCTGAACAAATGCGCCAATCATAGTGTTCCAAACCTCTGTATTTCTCTCCAAACAGTGTTTGAAAACCTTCGTAGCCAAATCAAGGGAAGAAAGCTCGGCAAACATGCAAATCGCAGAACTCACGGCAAACAGATCATTTACATACTCACTACCCAATTTAAGAAGCAACCCATAAAGAACATTCGCATTGTTATTATCCGCCATCCTCGAAACAGCCGGGAAAACATTGACAAAGCTTACAACAGTGGGTTTTATTCCCACTTTCATCATCATCACAAAATGCCTAACTGCTTCTACGTATCTCTTTGTTTTTACACACCAGGAAATCATGGTATTCCAAGCAACCACGTTTCTCTTCCGCAATGTATCAAAAACTTTACGCACCAGATCATATCTAGACAAATCAGAATCAAAACAACCCAATTCATCTTCTGTTGAACTCAAACAAGTAGCATACATGTTTAAGAGAGAATTAGAGACAATTCTGCTGGGATACAAATGGGAACGAAGAAGTTGGCAATGCACTGATTTACCTATTTTAAGCTGCCCGGTTTCAGCGCACGCTTTGAGAGTGGAGGAGTAAGTGTAGACATCACATTTGGTATCAGGGGATGAAGACTTCATGCGAGCATAGAACAAGATAGCTTCTTCGGGCATGTTATTACACATGAACCCAATGATGATTGTGTTCCAAATTACGGTTGTTGGGCGGGGAATTGAATCGAACAGTTGTCGGGCAATATGGGGTTTGCCTTCTCGGCACAATTGACTGAGTCGGTATCGAATTGACCGGGTTTTGTGGGGTGGTGGGTCGAGAGACGTCTGTGTGTAGGAGTCTTCGGAACCCCATGGTTGAATTTGGGAAGGTGGGTTTGGGGGTAACGAGAGGTTGGATGAGGGTGAAGAACGGTTATGGTGGTGACAGTGACTGTGATTATTAGCAAAAGAAGATGAGAGTGGGAGAGGAAGAGAAGAGGAGGACATGGTTAACCGCATTTGGAGTGAATTCTTTGCCTCCTCTTATTGAGTTGTGATATCTTTTGGATGGAAGTTATCAAATATGATAAATTATCTACAACGACATCAAATGTCTGAATAACTTAGTAGGATTGCTATCTTCAAATAAACAATCGGTAAAAAACAAGTCTACAATTTTTTTCTACTCCAATTTTTCCAGAATCATTTGTCACATATCTCAATAACAAAATTAATAGATAAATAAAATAAAAATAACAAAACAATATTTTTGATTGTATACTTTTTTAATAAAAAAATAAGTCTTGTTTTTTCTACGCTGCATTCAACCCAAGTTTTTGGATGATTTGTGATTGATAGGCACAACTCACCTAACAACTGGAAGGTTGATAGACACACCTCACCCGAGGCACAGAGAGGCTTGGTGAGAATGCAAAAAAAAAATTCCTGAACTATAGGGATTTTGCAACTAATTTTTCTGAACTAAAAAAAATTACCATAAATTATAAATTTGTTGTAATTTGCCCACCACCAAAAAATAAGAGGATGAAACTGCCCTTCTAATAAAATTAACCTTCATCCACTATCGACTCGAGCCCAAAGAAGGCGGCGCACGGTTGCGGAGCGACGGGAATAGGTTTGTTGTGTGTATATAGATATAGATATATAGATGTGTATATATGTACCGTCGTGAGGAACTCGACAGACATCACCTTTGTCGACCATGATGGCGGCCAAGTAACCGTCTTAGAAGGTCTCGACGTCCATGTCGGCCTTGTCGGACTCGATGACGACTACACTCTCGCCTTTGGAGAGCTTGACACCCTCTCACTTGACCCACGACACAATCTTGCCCTCGGTCATGGTGGAGCTTAGCGCCGGCATGAAAATCTCTCTGATCTGAAAATCTCTCTGGTCCGAATTGGTGATTGGGTGGTTGAATTGGTTGGGTTGAGTGTGGGGGTTGTGATTAAGTGATTGATTTTGGGTTTGTGGTCGCCGGCAGAGATGGATTTGCAACGGCAGTCGTGTCGAACCTCATCGGAGAAAGACGCCAACTGACCGTCGAGATAAATTGAACCACCAAACCTTCAAATCTGACCTTTCATCACCCACCTTCACGCCGCTTGGGTTTGAATCAACACTTGGTATGGGTGGTGCCAAAGATTGCAACATCACTACAACCACCAGTCTTGATTTGCAGGTGGCGGCCATGGGTTTACCAAATCGTCATCAATAAATAGATCTGCAGCAGTGGAGGCGATGACATAATTTCAGGAATTCAACACGCGCCGGTAACTGCAAATCGCGTGCTCTGCACGCCCCACGCCGCGGCAGTCGTCTTCTTCCTCATATGGCCAATTTTTTCCTCCACATCTCTCCATCAAAACCCACCGAGTCTCCCTCTTGTTCGCCGGCCGTTGTGCAATCTAGCCGAAGCTGTATGAGTTGGCGTGATAAGTGATTGCGGACCGGCGGCGACAAGGTTCAGATAGATGAAACTTAAGCGAACAAGGTACTGTCATAATCCGTTGAAAATTATAGATTGTTCCGGCGAGGATGAACTGCACAGCGGCGGAGATGGACCGTTGAGCTTGGCCGATGGAGCTCTCGGCTGTGATGAAGAACTGTGGCGGCGACGAGCTCGGAGGACTGATGGCTGCTTTAATGATTTTTCTAAATTCTGTGGGAAAAAACCCAGTGTTATTCCATATTGTTTTGTTTATTGTCTCTGTTTAGCCATTTTGATTACAATTTGTTAATTTTCTGTTCTTTTTTGAAATCGGAGGGTGAAATCATTGATGAACAATCTGAAGAGGATTGGTCTGCAGGGAGAGGAGAGAGAAGGTGCTGATGTGTGCGTTTGGATTGCTAGGGACCATAGATGAGGTGGTCATTATGCTTGATGGTGGTGGCAGTGGATTTTTTCGGCGATGATGGTGGTGGCGATGGATTGCCTCAGTGATGATGGTGATGGTCACAAGAAGGGCAATGGAGTCTTTTCATGCTTATAAAGGACAATATGGTCATAAAGTTAGATATGTATCACGTGATGGCACGTGATCATTTTGCCGGTGAGATTCTAGCGGAGAGTTGCCGGATGAAGTCATCTGCAGCAAAAATGTATATGAAGATTTTTTTTGCATTTAATCCCATATTCTTTAAGAAAACTTATTCTAACATAAATTATGCTTACATTAATTTATTCACTTTACATTAAATCAAAACAGGCAATGTCACATCTGAAACAAAGAATCAGTGTTTGTACGATGACATGGGGCTCACCAGAAGCATATATTCCTCAAAAATGGAAAAAACAATGTTCCCCATAGTTCGTTCCACAAATTTTTCTTTTTAGTTTCAATTGAAATCTTCATTTTGAAGGCAAAGTAGTAGTAGATTAGAAGTATTACTTTTTGATATAATTAATAATGATTAATTAATCAAAAAAACTCATTTGGAGCTATCAGTTCTCCATTTTACGAGTATATGATTTTTCAGTGTATGCTATTACACGAATTTTTTAACATTATGTTTAGCAGTAATATGATTGGAGCTTTAGAAATAAATAAAAACAATTCCAAAAATTGAACTACATTTTTTCTTAATTTCATTAAATTCAATTTAAAAGTTTCAATTACATGTCCCAGACACGATAATCATTTCATTTTAAAAGCTGAAAATACCAATTTAGAAGTGATATATTTACTATTATGCTTTGCATGTGTAAAATGGTCTTTTGAGAGCGTCCTTAGGATTTATAGAGTAGTCTTGTTAAACTAATTCAGCGCAACAACCAATTAATTTCTTCTATTTCTAAAACATGCATCATCATTTTCAATATGAATTTAACGAACAACGGAAGAAACATTTTATAGAGAAATTGAAAGAAGGTCTACAGCAATGAGATTGAGTAGCCTGAAGGCCACACATTCCAATCACTATCCCCTCTCTTACAACTGAGAGCCATCTTCGCTAGATGGTGAGCAACATAGTTACAATCTCGATTAACTCAAGACAAAAAAAAAAATCACCATTACCCAACTGAAGTAAAGCAAAAATATCACCTAAAACTGTAATTGAGAGACTATCATTTGGGACAAGAGCCATGGCTCCTTGACAATCTCCCTCAACGATCACACTGGAGAAGCCCCGGTTAATCAACATCTTAATACTTTCACGAAGTATAAAAAGTTCTGCCATACAAGCTGACTTAACATTTGGCAAGAAACAGGATGCAACTTTGATAGGAATGATGCATTAAAATGCAAGCAGTCTTTGTTCAACTATTAAAATGCAATCTGCAAAACTTACATTCAATAATCATGCAAAACAGTTTTTGTACTTATTTAACATTAATTACTGGACTTTAAAGTTTAAACCCGTTCTTAAACCCTACTACCCTCATGGGTTGTTACCACCATATCCTCAACCAAACGTTCAATGGAAATGAAGGAAGATCCACCATCCGCCACTGCCTTCCTGCTCTTCTCCGCCATCTCTCCCACCCTCTTCCTCACCGGATTATCTCCATCCATCAAACATCTCACTGCTCTCTCTATCTCCTCCGCTGTCACCACATCAACACCACCGCTCTCATCACCAAAACCATGGTTCCTATAATCCAATCTCAGCTCTACAGCCAATCCCAATTCTCTCACCATCTCAAATGCATTGATCTGCTGTTCTGCATAGATTGGCCAAGTCACCACAGGCACGCCAAACCACAGGCTCTCCAATATTGAGTTCCACCCGCAGTGAGACACGAACCCTCCAACTGCTTCGTGGGCCAGCACCTCCACCTGTGGGACCCATGCGCACACCATCCCTCTACCTTCCACCCGTTTCAAGAATCCAGGTGGCAGTACCTCCTCGTAGTCTTCGGGCACCCCTATCGGCGACGGAGGCCGCCGTATCGACCACAAGAACCTGTGGCCGCTCCGCTCAAGTCCCGCAGCCATCTCCGCCAGTTGGGTTGCGCTGAAACTGAAAGTGTCCATGCTACCAAAGCACAGCAACACCACGGATAACGATGGCTGACAGTGAAGCCATTTCATGATGTTGTCACGGTCAGACTGGGGAAGATGGTTCTGACCCTGGAGGTCAAGCAGAGGTCCAGCCGTGTATATGGGTGGCGCGTGACCATCCGACAAACCATTGAGCGCGTGAGGTTCGAGTTCTGCAAATGTGTTCACAATAATTCCCCGGGCCTCGCTGAATTTCATGGCGTGCTTCAAAAAGGAAGCGTATCCACCTTGTTTGTTGAAAACAAAAGAGGGTAAGACATTTGTAGGTAGCGGGTTGGCGTAACATGGAATGATTGAATCGGGATCGGATTCATTGTACTCAGCACCAGTTTGGTTGTGATGAGTTGGGAGGTGAAGCATGAGGCCAAAAAAGGCTGCACTTGAGGTGAAGAACACATAAGAAGGGACACCAAGTTGGTTGGCTACATCAATCATGGAGGTGCAGAACAAGTCCACTACTAGTCGGACTGTGTTGGAGCTTCCACAGGATACTATACCATCTGTTATTGCGGCTCTAACATGGGGTTTATGGCTTTCTATGTAATCAGAAAAATATTTTTCTACTGACTTAGACATCATATCTGAGGGAGGTGGTTGGAGTTGGGGAAGGTACACATACCGGATCTGGGAGTCGCCGGTGGCGAGTGAGTGGGTGTATGAGTCTACAATTGGGGCACTGGGTGGTCTTATGACGAGGACTGTAATTGATAACCTTTGGTCCCAATTTAGTAGGCGTTTTGCAAATTCAATTGTGGATACAAGGTGACCTATTGCGGGGAAGGGAACCAAAACTACCTCTGCCTTCATCATCTTGGTATATATGTTTTGGTGATCGATCAGTATTCAGTACTGCTTCAATTGATCTTTCTTTAGATGATCAACTTTATTTGTATTACAGTATTATTCCTTTCGACATCAAGGCAAACCAGTTGCAAGGATTCGTCTTTTTAAGGGTACGTGGCAGGGAGATCATTAAGTTCCACGAATCTAAGGAATTTTTAAGAAATCAAGTGGGGAGATTATTAGAAAAGTGAGTTCTAGCTATATTTTAATAGGGGTGTGTGTGAAATGTTTTGTGAGAAAAGGAACAACCCACACATTACACAAGTATAATTGCTTCATAGTCTATGCATGGTTTATATGAGAAAACCTTCCAAACAATCACGAGAACATAAAATTGGGCATAATAACAAAAACAACTATATAGGGTGTTATGTGACTACAATGAATATGCTCATGTATTTAATTTTGAAAACAAGTTAGCATGTGATTGATATATTTTATTGCTTGTTTTACAAATGAATATTGATCACACAGAAAAAAAAACAAAAAAAAATCATCATTGATTTAATTATCAAGGGTTTAAGTAATAAACTCATCCCTACTCGATCGCCAGCCCGAGTATGTGCTTCATGGCGGCTACCAATCCCTTACATACACAAGCCTCCTCTAGAAATAGTGACAACGTACCTAGGGGTTGATTACATACATTCACGGGCTAAAAGTAAGAAAGAAAGCATAAGTGAAAGCATAAAGAAAATTGTAGAGAATCACCCTTTCTCTTCCAACACGTACCCTCTTATTCTTCATTATACCTCCACCTCCCAAAAATGTACGTAATTCGTTGTTGCTGAAAGTAAGAAACGTGAATTAGTTGCATGTTCCCAATTTGCATGTCCAGGACCATGTAGAATAGTTCAAGCATCAAGTTGATGCCAAGGAACAATCAAACGTAATAATTACCAAAAAAAAAAAAAAAAAAAAAACAATCAGACGTATAACTAGCTAGGAGCTTGTGTTGGAATGAGTCGAATGACTAATAGCCGATCATGTGTGCTTTGCATATTCATACATATCAATTCCTGTGAAATATATTATTAATCGTGAAGCTATAAAAGTTATATTTGGTGCACCACAAACATCGAATACTTTGCTGAGCTTCTTAAACACGATTCCTTCTGTACGCCTAATAGTGATCATAGCATCGAAAGAAATCCAACACCATTTTTTACTCGTACAAAGAATGTCAAATATTTCAGGATTTTTGTTGGAGGCCTACATAGACTCGAATTATTTTTAGTTTTTATATTTCATATTTTTAGTGATTGGATTTCTTTTTCTTGGTTTTTCGTAATTTTAGAGAAAATTTTGGGTAATTTCCTCTGCTAGTTTCCTTAGGCTGCTGATATAATTTCTTATACATCATGAGGAGGGACCAAATAATTCATTCATTTATTAATAATTAATATTATTTTTTAAACCGAATTCAGCCTGAGCTGATAGAGTCACTGCATGAACGGTATTCACTCATGCACAGTGTCTGTTGATTTGATAAGTATTACACTGCTCTTGTTCTCATGGACAATATTACTCTCTTTTTTTTTATTGACTATTATTATCCTTCCTTATTCCATTGTGTGTTCATATATATAACATATATTGTAGTTAATCTTCTGTCAATGCATTATTTCATCATTTTTTTTTTTCAATTGTCTTTTTACTGCTGATGAATTCTGTATATATTAAATATTATTTATATTTACTTTAGATGAGGATTTCATAACTGTAAATTTTAATTAAAGTAAATTATAAAATTTAATTTTCTTTGAAGTAAAATTATATAATTGAGTTTTAGTTGAATGGTTTAGCAAAGAGCTAGAGAGGGAGAGAGACAGCTAATATGTTTCCTTATACGTGAGGAGGGACCAAATAATTCATTCATTTATTAATAATTAATCTTACTTTTTAAAGCGTACCCTTTAACTAGAGAGGGGGACGGGGAGTATAGTGATGATGGGATAATCGCACTTTCTTATTAAATTTTAGTTGAAGTAAAATTGTATAATTGAGCTTTTGTTATTTATAAATGATAAAAGTAAATGATTTAGTAAAGTACGTGAAAGAGAAATGTACAATAGCCATGGGATAATCACATTTTAAAGATAGATAAGATGGTTTGATGAGTGATATATAAATTATAGATGATAATAGAGGATAAATAATTGGTTTTGATAAAAATAAAAAATAAAATTAAAAAAAGAGTAAAAAGTATAGAATGAATCAGTTTAAAAAGAAAAATAACAGAAAAAATAAAAAAAGGAAAAAAGAAGAAAGATATATATGTATACAAACATATGGGAGGAGAGAGAAAAAAAGCTAAGAAAGAGAGTAGTATTGTCTTATAAATTTCGATTTTAATACTCCATAAAAATAAGAGTAATATTTTTCAATTAAAAATTCTGCTAGGGTAAAATGGTATTTCCCTTCCATTAATGATTAATCCATCCACCTTCATAGTAGAAAACTAGAATAGACAAACTTAAGTTTCAAATTGAGCAATGTAGCTGAATTATGGAAGACAGAAGGGGCTTGGTGGAGACTATCATTCTTTAGGAGGAAAATTTACTCTAACCTGAATTATGGTTGCATTGATTTATTCACTTTACCTTGAATCAAAATAAGCAGCAAGGTCACATTCAAATAAACCTTCAGTGTTTGTGTCGTGTGGGGGCTCAACATACCCAAGTCCTTGTACCTTAGATGGCCACAAGAAGAATTTCTTTCTCAAAAATGGAAAATCATTGTTTCCAATGATTCATTTCTCAAATTGTTCTTTTCAGTCGTCAAAATTAAATGTATCAATTTAAAATCTAATGTAAATTCACATGTATCGCTATCACTTTTAGTCTTTAATGTACCTTCACTTCAAATGTGCTATTATTACTTTATTCTTTTGTGGACCTAAAAAATCATTTAGTGGACGGGCAGAATTCAAGTGCTGAACTCTGGTATATCATTTTTGATGTACCAATTTTGAAAGGCAGAATGTGCATTTCAATTTCCATTATAAAGCTGAAAATCCCATTTTTAGAAGCGAAATATGTCGACTAAAGTAGTCCTTTTGATATTTGTGCGAGGGTGAATAGAATTTATAAAGTTAGCAATTAAATGTTTTTTACAAATTAAAAATTTTTAAGTGATAGTATTAGAAGTATCTTTTCTGGTAAAATTAATGAACTTTTTCGTATTTAATCATTGATTCTTGTTGCGATAGAACTCTTTGATAGCATTACAATTTATTTTTTTTTTTTTATTTTTTTTTTTTTTTTCGGCTTTAAAAGAATTATCATTTTCTATGCAGAATTGATAGTGCCATTATGGGCTCAATATAATATGCAAGAGCTGGTTTGCAACCATAAAAATGTTCTCAACAAGATTGATGAGTTCACTTTTAACAACTCTCACATAAAGCTGTCAATGGACTTAAAACACATTCTTAAACCTCAACCCTGTACTTTCATGGGTTGTTTCCCAACATATCCTCAACCAAACGTACAATAGAAGTGAAGGAAGATCCACCATCTGCCACCGCCTTCCTGCTCTTCTCCGCCATCTCTCCCACCTTCTTCCTCACAGGATTATCTCCGTCCATCAAACATCTCACTGCTCTCTCTATATCCTCCGCCGTCACCACATCAACGTCACCGCCCCCATCACCGTGAGCTTGTTTCCTGTAATCCAATCTCAGCTCCACACCCAATCCCAACTCCCTCACCATCTCAAATGCGTTGATTTGCTGTTCTGCATAAATTGGCCAGGTGACCACCGGCACACCAAACCATAAGCTCTCCAGTATTGAGTTCCAGCCGCAGTGAGACACGAACCCTCCCACTGCTTCGTGGGCCAGCACCTCCACCTGCGGGACCCACCCGCACACCATCCCTCTACCGTCCACCCGTTTCAAGAATCCAGCCGGCAGTACCTCCTCATAATCAACGACGTCTTCTGGGACCGCCATCGTGGGCTGCCTCCGCCGAATCGACCACAAGAACCGGTGGCCGCTCCGCTCCAGTCCCACCGCCATCTCCGTCAGTTGGGTTGTATCAAAAGTGCCCATGCTACCGAAGCACAGCAACACCACCGACAAGGATGGCTGACCGTCAAGCCAATTCATGATCCTGTCACGATCGGATCGGGGAAGATTCTTCTGACCCTCCAGGTCAAGCAGCGGTCCAGCAGTGTAAATGGGTGGCGCGTGACCATCCAACAACGAATTCAGTGCGTGAGGTTCGAGTTCGGCAAATGTGTTCACAATGATTCCTCTGGTCTCACTAAATTTCATGGCGTGCTTCAAAAACGAGGTGTATCCATCTTTATTGAAAACAAAAGACGGTAAGGCAGTTGCAGGTACTGGGTTGGCGTAACTCGGAATGATTGAATCGGGATCGGATTCATTGAACTCAGCACCAGTTTGGTTGTGGTGAGTTGGGAGGTGAAGCATGAGGCCAAGAAAGGCTGCACCAGAGGTGAAGAACACATAGGAAGGGATGCCAAGTTCGTTGGCTACATCAATCATGGAACTGCAGAAGAGGTCGACTACTATCCCGGCAAGTCGGACTGAATTGGAGCTTACACCGGCACGGTCAGCGGACAATACACAATCGGTTATTGCTGCTCTGACGTGGGGTTTATGGCTTTCTATGAGATCAGAAAAATACTTCTCCGGTGACTTAGAGATTAGATCTAAGGGAGGTGGTTGGACTGGGGGAAGGTACACAAATCGGATTTGGGAGTCGCCGATGGATGAGTCCATAACTGGGCCGAATGGTAGTCTTATGACGAGGACTGTAATTGATAACCTTTGGTCTCGATTTAGTAGCCTTTTGGCAAACTCAACTGTGGATACAAGGTGACCTCGACCAGGGGCGGGCACGAAAACCAGCTCTGCCTTCATCATCTTTGTGTGCAGGTGGGTACTAGGTAGGTGATGAGTACTACTGCCTACTGGTTCAATTGATGTTTTCTTTGGTTAAACTGGAGTATATATCTAAATATATACACACACGTAGTTTTTTTTCGGAAATTATACACACATATTTGTATTCTAGTATTAATGGGGTTACTACTAGTCTACTACATTGACAAAGCAGTTACAAGAAATCGTCTTATTAAGGACGGCAGGGCCAAAATTTGTATATCGATGATCAAGGTCATCACGAAACCAAGTGTCAGAATCATGAAGACAAGGCCAAGAAACGTTGGTCCCTTTTATCTTTGCACCATTCAAAGTTGGACCCATTGGGTAGTTGTTGGTTGACTGGTTGTGTTATTTTGGACCAGCCTGATGTGATAATAACGATTGCTTGAGACATTCGCGACTAAATGAACATGAGTGTAATATTTTCAACCTAGCTTTAGAGAAGAAAAACTTCATGTAATATTTTCAACCTAGCTTCAGAGAAAAAAAAAAAACTTCTGCAACCATACAACTTAGTTGTCCCACCATGAAATCAACAGGAAAGGAAACCTCAGCCACACACAGAGAGAGAAAAAGAAAATGGCTATTTATTGATGTTATTGTTTTTAATTCGGATAAGGTCTAAATTAGAGGTTCCAACATTAATATATGAAATATATAGCTTTTTCCTAAACTAGGATACAAATGAAGATAGAGTAAAGATTGATGGTCAACAGTGAAGTAAATACTCTGGTCTGAAGATGCACTTATTAGGAATTGATAAAAAAAACGTCATTACTCTGGTCTCATAATGCTCAAGGGGCAAGTGCTCCTCCTTCTAGTACGAATTGGTATTGACTATATTTTATAATGTGATGAATGATGCAAATAGAAACAATAAACACTTTAAATACCAGAGTCAATAATATTGCTGATATGATGAATTTGCAGATTACATATCAGTAAAAAAACATAAGAGAAGTACCAAAATAACAATAAAAGAATAGTATAGAGGAGGAAGAAGCAGAAGTGAAAAGGGAAAGTAATCAGAAATTTGCATCTCTGAAATAGTTGGGTTGTGTTATATAATTGGCACCACAATCTTTCTTCTGACTCTTCTTCTTAAAATGTTTAGAGGCAGCTTTCAGCACCTTAGCCCATCCCTGCTTATTCACCATTACATCATTGTAAAAAATAAAAACACATAATTAAACATCTGCAAGTTATAAAATCTAGGGCAAACAAACTTGAAAATTAGACCAATGAATGAAGCTAATAATAGAAATTGAACATATAAGAATAAGTAATTGAACTTTTGAGTTTCTGTTCACAATTCTTATGTTAAATTATGGAATTTTTATTTCACAGTTCCTACTTCTTCTTTTTTCATGAATAAATTTAAGGTTAAAAATTCCTCTTTTCAGTGATACTAATTCATACTAGTTTTCCAAAAATTATAAGTACTTTAATTTTAAAAAATTCATTTTAGTCAATGAAAAAAAAAAAAACTGATAAATGAGTAGTATACTTTATTTTATCTATAACAGAAGTAGACTACAAAAGCAGAGTGAAACAGGGGAAACTAAATGAGGAAAAAAAAATTATGGTAGTGAGAAAGAGGAAAAAGTACCTTTTGGGGGGTTGGGGTAGTAGAAGACCCCTTAGCAGAAGGAGGGTTTGGAGAGAAATCAAATGCCTTCTTCTTCTTCTTCTTCCTTTTCATCTTCTTCATGTAGTGATTGTTGAGATTGCGAAGATTGTTGGAGACAGAGTTGGTGATCTTCTTCTTGAGATTAGTGGTCACTTTCTTCATGAAAGTGTCAGTGCTACTAATATTGTCCAATACTCCATCTCTCTCCTCCTCATAGGACAACTTTCTGTGTGTTGACATACCAAATTCCATTGGCACCATTTGGAGGACATCGGAGCTACCACGATCACCATGGCCAATGATGGAGACAATGGGAGGGAAGTGACGAGAGACTAAAGGGGACCAAATTGAACTTTGGGTATAGTCAAAATCGAAGGCCGAGTTGTCTGGGAACTTGCAGAGAAGCTCTTGAGACATTGACGACTCCAAGTACTCCACCACCACCACTCTGCCATTCATGAGGGGTTCTCTATCTTCTTCTTCTTCTTCTTCTCTTTGTAGTTTGAAAACCATCTTCACTTCTTTTCCAAAGAAAATCAGAAAAGGGTTATCACCTAGAGATCTTTATGGATTATGTGTTTTTGTGTGTACATATATTTTCTGGTTTTCTCTGAAACGCTTATGCTTCAGACCAAATAATAAATTTTGAATCTTTGAAAGGAGGAAAGTAGAAGAAGAGACAGAAAGTTACCGTTGCAATGTAATGCTTCCAAAAGACGACTGGGCATTCGTTTTATGGGAAGTTGTAATGCCACGTGTCATGTATTTTTTATTTTTATTTTTGAAAGGTAAACGTGTCATGCATTATCAAAACAAGGTGGTTCCCTTTTGGGCTGTCTTGGCCACCCTCCTTATGTATTTACTTTTATCATGAACATATTAGTTGCTTAATTTTCCCAAAAAAAAAAAAAAAAAAGAACAAGGTTTGGTTACTTGGTCGTTCGTACCGTTGAGCATACTAAAAGAATGAAAAATGGGAAGAAAATTACAAACATAGCCCTTTCACATTGGCTGTTATTCGAATTATTAAATTTTAAGTCCTAATCCAATTTAATTTGATATTCAATTCAGCTTCTCTGATTCAAATTCAACTCATGCTCTAATTTTGAAATCGAATTCAGATAAAGTATTTAGCTAGTTTTAAAGTCTAAGTTAGTTCAAATTGATACCTAGGACCTATTCTACCTTATATGTACCAAAAATAATAATTTTACCTTATTCAAAAAGTCCTCCAAAAATAATACAGAGTAATTTATAAGATAAATAAATATAAAAATGCTTTACCCGAAATCTTTGGAAGACTTTTAATTGGTGAGATATGCATATCAGCAATCTCTCTAGTTGAAATCCTTCGTAGCATCACTAAAATAAATAAAATTCATGGCTCATCTTCTTATTTATATAAGCACTTGTTCGTGCGGTTTTATGCCGGTCGATGGACTCTTCGCGGGCGTGCCAGAGTATTTATACAAAACATTCAAAATATGTTGATTCGAACACCAGTCTATCCCTTTTTTCGATGGCTGACTCTCAGGCGATTGTGTGGGAAAGAGACTAGTAAGAACTTCCAGCAAGATTCTTTTATGCCTTGTTTGTAGTAAGGACTTTTTATCTAAAGTGCTTAAAAGAAGTAAAATGCGATGAAAAAGTAAATGAAAATAAACTGGCTCAATTGAAATGGACTGAAAAGTAAATCGGCCGAATTGAAATGAACAATAAAGGAAATGGCTGAATGGAAATTAAATGGAAGATAATGACATTTTGGAATGAGAAAACAGGCCGAATTAAATTGACATGAATCTGATCAAAGATTTGTCATTTAAATTTGTTTACATCAAACAAAGAATAAATTGTAAATAGCATAATTAAGTATTGCAAAAAGAATTATAAGTTATTGGAACTCATATTCTTCGAATGGAAATTGCCATTTGGACAAAATAATAAAGAATTGATAAAGATAAAGATGACGTTGAGTCATTTGATAAATGAATTTTGATTCATGTTGATTTGTGGTTGGTGCTGGACAAATTGAAATAAAATACAACACTTCTATTTTATAGAAGTTTTATTCAACTTATTTCCTAATTAGTTGCTGGAAAATCTCTCTTTCTTCTTGATTTTCTTCTCTTCACGGCTTACTGGGTCAAATCCCAATATATCTCTACTTCTCTTTATGGCTTGCTTTAGTAGAAGATCCTTGCCAAAACAGCTTTCCTTGATTTAATCGAACGTAAATTGACATCGCTAAAAAAGTTGCTAATAAGTTGCTAATTTTTAGCAACTTCCTTCCATAGACTCGGCTAGTGTAATTTCCTTAAATGGCCTGAATACCCTTTTGTAGCTTTTGAACTCATATGGTTGTTCCTACTTTGTTGGAATTCCTTTTTCCAATTAAATCCCTATTTCATAGAGATTTAGTTATTTATTGTAACCAAATCTCCAAGTCTTTCCTTTTTAATCAATGACCACATTTGAATTGGTTCAAATCTCTGCAAATATATTCAACGACAACCTTATTAATAAGATGGCTGAAATATATATTTCCCTAGATTTTCTCCTCTTGTTTCTCTATTGGGCGACTTTCCTTGGAATCATATTGCACACTAGTCAGCTCTTCACTGGTCCACGTCACTGCTGAAGTGGCTGCCAAGTTTTGGTGCCAACAAATGCCCCCTAAATTTCAAATGCTCTTATCGTTTATGATAAGAAGCTTTTGGAATTTGAGTCGGCCAAGCTTGAATTTCAAATTTTTGGTAATTAATTCCTTCTTTTCCCAACCACCTGCCTTAATGGTTACCCACTTCCCAATTAAAGCAGTGATTACATCAATCCGTCATTACACCCAGCTAGTATTTAGCTTCTTATCCTGAAATTTCTGAGATCATTCTTCCTTAGCCTTAAGTCGCTAACTCTGAAATTCCTTTCCTCATCTTTCAACAATCCAAATTCCTTTAACGATCTTTCATGGCTCCTAAGAAAACCAAGTCAACCGACTCTACTTCGGCCCCACAACCTTCAGATTCTTCAACTCATAACAGTGCCATCGAGAAATCCCTAAAAACTTTTTCTTCTTACAAGTATTGCCTTAATACTGTCATAGATCTTCGCACTGACTTCAAGGGTTTAGGTCCTGCTTTCCTTGATAAAGCTCCTTCATCCATCTCACCTTACTACCCCTCGGCTGAGGCACTTCCATTTCTTTAAACTTTCCCTCCTAATGAAAATGGCAGTTTGCCACATTTTCATTTTAGGACATGGCATATTCCCAATGATGCTTAGATCAATTGGGTCGATCGAGTTGGAGCTGTGAAAGGAGAGACGTAGAAAACCTGTGGTATTTATGATGCCATTCAACTGAGCAAAACAAATATTGCTCAGGACAGGGCTCTGATGATAGCAGTTATATTCAACTGGTCGACCACCACCAACTCCTTACACTTGAAGTGTGGCATGATGGCTCCAACCATTCAAGATGTATGCTATTTAACCGGCCTCAAACCCTTTGGAATTAATGTGAGCACTTTATTGGTAGAAGAGGACTCCCCCTTTATTTTTCCCTCTAAACAAACTGGAACCAAATCCTCATACGGCAAATATTTAACCTCTACCATGGATCTTCGCGTTCCTGTAAATGATGCCGAGCATATTGCCTTCTTGTTAGCCTGGCTGAGCAAATTTCTTCTATGTGTACCAGCCTTTCAAGTTACCAAGGATTACATTCATGTGGTCGTTGCTCCTTCCAGAGGTAAACCCCTTGCTCTAGTTCCTTTAGTGTTATCCTATTTATATAGGGGAATTTATGACCTACTTACCTCTAACTTTGGACGTTATGGTGGCCCCCTCTGTTTATTTCAAATTTGGTTACAAGTTTACTTTCCTGAATTAGGGCCTGTGGTGAGGCCATCGACCAATAACCCACTCCTTTCTGTGAGTTATGTATCGGCCGTGCCCAAATCCCACTCATTTGGAGATTGTTTTAATTTCTTCTACTCTGGCTGTAAGCATAGAACCATCAGCCAGTACCTTTCATTCTCTCACTGTTCTCAAGCCCCTCGATGGCTGACTCCTCCTTAAGGAGTATCCACAAAGAAGACTACTGATGAGCTTTCGGCCATGTGGGTCAGTTTCCTTCTTTCAAGAGATCTTCATTTCAACACTGGTCCTTTGGGGACAGTAAATTCAAAGGTCGGGGTTGAGTTTTACAATCCTAGCCAGCTTGCTAGGCAATTTGACCTGACTCAAATAATTCATATGCCTCCTTATATCTCCTTTAACAAAAATTTCAATCGGCATGTGGTATTTCCGGATGAATCTTATGTTAAGAATGTATCTTCTCAGTTTTTTAGTTTACAAGCTGAATTCAGATTCCAACCCTTCATAAAAAACCCAGCCTCAAATTCCAGTTTTGACCAATGGTGGTCCTCTTACATTGCCTCTACCACGACAGTTGAATGCCAGTCCCTTGTCATTAAAATCTTAGAATCATTTAAATTCATATTTGTGGCCTTTGAAGGGGCATTCATAATTACCAGGGCTGTTACTCTAAAGAAAGTGCCTCAAAAATATCCTCCCAAAGGCAAAAAACAAACAGCCAAGAAACTCCATTTCTCTCAGGCAACAGATGCTCTAACAAAGATAAATAAAGAGAGAAAAGTTAAGGCAAAGGCCACAGCTAGCCTTCTCAAAGGTATAATCTTCATTTATTTCATATATATATTTATTTAAAAGCTTTGAATTAAATTCTCTTACCCTTTTGCAGATTCAGATAATGAAACCTCATCAGCCTCCCTTAATCCAAAAAATGTTGATCCTCAAAATGATGAAATTTCCTCTAGTCAACCTTCTCAGCCTGCAGAAACTGAATCAGCCACCATCCCTGATGTTGCTCCAGCCCCTCCGGTTGCAGGCAAGGTAAAAGTTTACACTCATCAGCACACGAAGATTATCATATCGGCTGTATTACTAAAATACTTGGCCAATATTAATTCCTAACTCTTGGCCACAACAATTATTCGCCGAAACAATTTTTAATAAAATTTCATTTTTCAGGAAAAAAGAAAGAAATTAACTGCCCATGGGACATTAAAAAGGACAAAATTTAACAAGGTAAGAAACATGAGGTAGAAAAGGATCCAGAAAGCCCTCAACCTACAGAAGACGTGGCTGATGATCCTGTAATTGAACTGGGCCCTGTAATTAATGTGGCTGATGACCCTTCTAATCATTCCTCATATGAAAAAGAGGTAATGATAATTTTTACCTAAGCTTTTAACCTCATCACTTTTGATAACATCATTGATTTTCTTTTACAGCAATCTCCACTTCTTGACTTGGTCTATAGCCCAGTTAGGAATTTCAGTCATTTGAAGGATTTTCATGAACCCATTGAGGTGCCCTTAAATGTTCAAGTCACTCCAGCCAAAGCCTCTTCTCATGGAGACAGCACAGCTCTTCGGCCAGAGTTTCTTCTACTAGTGATCAGCCATCAGTCACATTTGGATGCAACTATAGCCGAATCATCCAAAGTATTGACTATCTCATACTTGTATTTTTACTCATATATAAAAAATTATACTTCTAACATTTTTCATATTAACAGGTTGTGCATGGAGAAACTCAAGCTATTGCATCTTTTCCTCCACTAAAAGCTCCTGCATCTTCCCTCCTAGCCTTGAGTAATTTCTTCAGAGATGTGGTGGCTTCAGTGACTGAGGAAAGAGAGAGTGAATCTTCAGGAGCAACTCCAGTTACCTCAGCCAGTGTTCCAATACAAACCATGGAAGAAACAAAAAGAAGTTTGGTTGAAATCTTACAAAGAGATGTTGCTGATCTTCCCAAGTTTGAAAGTGAGCTCACGGCTGTTCTTACCACACTCAGCCAGTATCCAGACTTCCCAGTCGACCTACAAGCCACCATTGCTACTTTCAAAGGTCAACTGCCAGTTCTGGCTGATAAGATTTTTCAGGCCAATGAATCAATCAACCAATTTGATAAGAGCAAAAGTAGGAAAGATACTCTTGGTGAACAGTTATTAACACAAGCTTCTATCTTTGACCGAGTGAACACATAATTCATCGGCCTTGAAGAAAGAAAGAGAGTCCTTCAAAAAGAGATCGACCAGATTCATGCTCGTAAGGCCATTTTGTCTACCGAGGCTGCCGCATTGCAGTTTGAAGCTCAAGACCTTGCTCACGAGCATGCAAATCTTCGTGAAGAATTACCTAAGTTAGAAGAATCAAAGAGACAAGCCATGGTTGCTTTCAATCGGTCCTTGGTGATTTGGGCCGATTTCAAGAAAAAATTTGCAAACATGTAAACCTTTTATTTTAATGGGACCCTTTTTGTAGCCATTTTAGTGTATGACCTCAGATGATGTAATCCTTCTACATTTTAATAAATAAATGGCCTCTTTTGCTACTTTAAACAATCATCAATACTTCAACAAGAATTTCCCTTTTATTTAAAATTTGAACAACTATATCAGCCTATAAATAGGCCGAATTTTATTACACATGGTACACATGGTTAGCCAAAGGTACTGGCTGACTCTAATTTTCCCTTTCAAAGATTGTTGGCACATACCTCTTAAGGTATTTGTCATTAATGGGATAATCATGCAATCGGCCACTAAGATACTTCAGCCTGTATGCTCCTCCACTTAGGATTTGATGAACTAGATATGGCCCTTCCCATTTATGAGACCACTTTCTATGTTTTCTATCAACCTTACCTACTGGCAGAACGACTTTCCAAACTAAATCTTCTTCAGCAAAAGACTTAGGTTTTACCCTTTTATTGTAGATCCTCATTACCTTTCTTTTGTGAGCTATGATATGATCTAAGGCATCCAGCCTAACTTCATCTAAGTATTCCAACTCTGTCAACATTGCTTGAGTATAATCAGCCGGAGTTAAATTATTTTGGAATGCGACCTTGGCCGATTTAACATTCATTTCCATAGGCAGAACATCATGATGGCCATAAGTCAACATATATGGTGTAACTACTGTGCCTGTTTTCTTTGAATTTTTATAAGCCCATAGAGCCTCAGATAAAGTCTCATGCCATCTTCTTGGTTTATCTTTGATCATTTTTTCAATGATCTCTATCAAAATCTTGTTTGAGGACTCGGCCTGACCATTTGCTTGGGCATAGTATGGTGTAGAGGCTGACATATGAATGCTCATATTATGGCCGCATTGTAGCACATCAACTGCCCTGAACACTGTTGCATTGTCTGAAACAAATGTTTCTGGAATTCCAAATCTATGGACAATATGTTGTTCTATGAAGTTAATCACTGTTTGTTGATCAACCGATTTGCAAACTTTAGCCTCAACCCATTTAGTAAAATAATCCGTGGCAACAATCACCCAGTGAGAGTCTTCACTTGATGGTGGATTGACTTTACCTATAAGGTCTAGGCCCCAACCTCTGAACGGCCATAATTTAATTATTGGTTGTAATTCTTTTGCTGGTACATTTTGAATCGGCCCATGTATTTGACAAGCCTAACACCCTTTTGTATAATCTATGCAATCCTTTCTCATCCTTGGCCAATAATATCCATACCTTCGAATCAGCCATCTCATCTTTGTCCCAGCTTGGTGGGCTCCACAACTGCCTTTATGCACCTCGACCATAACCTGAAGTGACTCTTCTTTACTTATGCATTGTAGTAAAAGTCTATCTTCAAGGCCTTTTCTATATAGATCCCCATCAAGAAGTAAAAAGTTGATTGCCCTTCTCTTGATACTTCTATCAGCCTTGATGTTTGGATTTCGGAGAAATATTATGAATGGTATCCTCCAATCATCATCGGCCAGATCTTCAATATCAATTACCCAGGAATTGGCCAACATAGTATTTCTTAATTCAGCCGAATGTAATGATCTTCGTGTGATTTTTATCAACTGATCCTTCATTCCAATTGGTACTCTGATTCCAGAGACTGCTTAGGCCATGTTATTGGCCTCTTTATTTTGTCCCCTCGGCCAGAACTTAAGTTAAACAGTATTAAATTAATTCAACAATGAAGTGGCCAGAGAATGAAACGGCCTAATTGCCAACTTAAACATTTGAAATCTTCAGTAATTTGACTTAGTACCAAGTTTAAATCTCCCAAAATCTTAACATCCCCAACAGCCATTTCAATTAGATTTTCCAGGCCGATTATAAGTGCTTCATATTCGGCCTGATTATTTGAACATTTAAAATCTAAGAGGAATGAAAATGAAGTCTTTCTCCCGGCTAGTGAAATGATAACAATACATGTCCCTGCTCCATCGGCCGTACTTGATCCATCAAACATCAATATCCAAGGAGTTAAGAATATGGCTGATGACTCCAATTCATCATATATCTATGGATCAATATCAGTTGAAGGATGATCGGCCAAGAAATCAGCTAGAACCCTTTCTTTAACTGATTTTTGTGGGATAAAATTAAAATCGAATTCCATCAAGGCCAATGCCCACTTATATATTCGGCCAGTGATCAATGGCCTTAATAGCATATATTTAATCATGTTAGTTTGACAAAGAATGTAAACATCAACCGGCCGCATATATATTCTTAATTTCATGGCTGAATAATACAAAGATAAACAAAGTTTCTCAATTGAAGAATATCTGCATTCAACATAAGTTAATACTCTGCTTAAATAGTAAACAACCTGTTCCTTCCCTATTTCATTATTCTGGGCAAGCATGCTACCAATTGATTCTTCCGCGACCGACAAATAAAGCTTCAACGGCCATTTCTTCCTTAGAGGCATTACTACCGGGGGGTTTGCCAAATACTCTTTTATTTTGTCAAAAGCCTTCTGATGGGATTCATCCCAATGGAATTTCGCATGTGACTTCTATTTTAATAAAGGAGAAAAAACATGTACTCGGCCAGCATGATTAGAAATAAACCTTCTAAGAAAACCTACCTGGCCGAGAAACCTTTGCACCAGTTTTTTGTTGGTCGGAGCCATAGCATTCATAATAGCTTTGGCCTTATTCTGGTCAACTTCTATGCCTCGTTTGTGTACCAAAAATCCCAAGAAATTCCCTGCTGATACCCCAAAAGCACACTTTAATGGGTTCATTTTCAACTTATGGACTCTCATTCTTTCAAAAGCCTTTTTTAGATGTTCCAAATACTGTTTTTTGGCCGATGACTTCACAACTACATCATCTATGTAAACTTCCATAAATCGGCCAATCATATCATGGAAGATTGAATTTATTGCCCTTTGATAAGTAGCACCTGCATTTTTCAAGCCGAATGGCATCACAACCCACTCAAAAGTGTTAATTGCCCTAGGACATCTAAAAGCCGTTTTGTGAATATCCTCCTCGGCTATATAGATTTGATTATAACCTGAATGGCCGTCCATAAAAGACAATATTTCATGCTTAACAGCCGAATCAATAAGTTGATCAGCCATTGGCATTAGATATTCATCTTTTGGAGTGGCAATATTTAAATTACGAAAATCCACACAAATCCTAAGTTTGCCATTTTTCTTTATTACTGGAACAACATTAGACAACCATTCCACATACCTAACTGTTCGAATAAATCCTGCCTTAAGAAGTCTTTCAATTTCTTCCTTAATTTTGAGCATCACTTCCAAGGACATCCTCATTGGTGGTTGTTTATAAGGCTGAAAATCTTTCTTGATAGGTAATCTGTGTTCTACCAACTCCCTTGATAGGCCAGGTATCTCTTCATAACTCCAAGCAAAGCAATCCTTATATTCCTTTAGTAACTTGATCAAATCGGCCTGAAAATTAGGCTCAAGCAAAACACTAACAAATAATGGCCGATGATCTTTTTCAGTACCAACATTAATTTCTAATAAGGGATCCTGCACTTCTGCTTTATTATCTTCTATCCTAGAAGGGGCTGACTCTATATCTTCAATTTGGATTGCATCCAATTTTTCGAAACCTTCTTGAACTATATCGGCCATGCTGGCCGATACTTCTTCATATAACAGTTTTTCTTTGGCTAATCTTTTTTCAGCCAAATATGTTTTCAGTCTTATACAAGCGGCCCTGAAAGCTTGCCGCTTCATTTCTTCTTTAGTCGTGTGATCCATCAGAAACATCTTCAATTTCTTTGATGGTCGACCTTAAAATATTAATTTTCGGCCGAGCTGCTTCTGTCAATAACTCTTCAATATCAATATTAATCAAGTTCTTCTTCATTGTTGCTGCTGCTGGTCGACCCATCTTGTTGATGCCTACAAACTTGATAGGTACAACAGGTCGTCATAAAGTGCAGCTTCGGCCGAATACACCCTGGCTATAAAGGGTTTGTTATCAGCCTCAACAATTTTTTCTTCATTTCCATCCCAAAAAATCAACATTTGGTGCAATGTTGATGGGATACACATATCAGGGTGAATCCAATCTCGGCCTAAAAGGAGATTATAGGCCGCAGTTGAATCAATGATAAAGAAGGCCGTAAAGGATGTTTTGCCACCAATAGTAATTTCCAAAGGCATAATACCTTTGGTATTACTAGATCCCCCATTAAAACCACTGATGGTCACATCGGTTGGAACCACATCATCCATGGTTTTGCCCAATTTCTTCAAAGTAGTTGCTAGAATGACATTTACCACCGAACCATTATCAACCAACACCTTATTAATTGGCTGACCTTCAACCCATACTTTAACATACAATAGCCTCAATTGTTGTGTCATGGCCAAAGGTGGTTTCTCAAAGATGATTTTATCGGCCTCAGTTGTTGGGCCTGGCGAGACCAATCCTACCCCGGCTGAAGAACTATTCGCGTCATTCTTGATTTTTGATGATTCAGCCTCCTCTTTAAGTTTGGTTGATTTGACATCCCTGTTCATCATTGGCTCTGTCCTTACTTCAAAAATAGAAGGTAAAACAAATACCATGTTACAATTTACCTCATCCGAAAGGGAGCCAAAACGAATTCTATACTTGGCCGCATGCTTGGGATCTTGATCTAGCTAATCATCTTTCTCCTCATAAAAGGATGTCTCATTCCCAAAAGTTATAGCAACCTCTATGTCTTCGGCCTCCTCTGGTTCATCTTCCTTAGCTGGCTGAACCTGGTCAATTTTATCCTCTTTCCTTTTAAGTTCTGCATTTTTTCTTTGCATCCTCCTCTTTTGAGTACGTGTAGAAGGTTGCTGAGGAAACTTTGTATGATTCATTCGAGTCCATCTGCCATGATCAACCAAAAGAAGTCTAACCGTTCTTACACGGCTAGATTCTTTCCCCTTTTAAACTCATATTTTCTGACTGGATTGCTGGTTTCCTTTTGAAACTAGGATAAGAATGTTACTCTGACAGAACTCTATCGGCCACAGATCTTTCTGACCGAATGATTCTCACTGCTCTCGGCCCATTCTCTCTGAATAATGGCCGATTAATTTCTTCATGATTATGTTTAGGCTGAAAACCCAACCTCTCATGGACACTGCGTTTCCTGGTAAATTGAAAATGGCTCCTCTTGTCCTGATTATCCCTATGGCTTTTGCATTTTGGGCAACAGCCGTGGTTGATGAGGGCAATTTGAGCTTCTCTCAACTGATTTTCCAAGTCCTTTACCCTCTATTCTTTGCTGCTGGGCGATGACGAACTATCAAGAACTTTTGGTGATATTTCTTGTCTACCATTATCAGCGGCTTTCTCAGTTGCTAGGCTGATAACGTTAGTATTTACAATATTAGGAAATGGATCACCATCAAACCCCATCACTTCTGGCTTCTTTTCAAGAAATTTCAATACACCTTCATCAATTGCTTTCTGCAATACATTTCTAAATACATAACAATTGTTAGTAGTATGATTCCATGAATTATGAAATTTGCAGAACTCTTTTCCTTTTAAATCAGTGGCTAATGGCATATTGTGTCCTTTTGGTAGGACAATTTGTTTGTCGGTCAACAAATGATCAAAAATTTGTTCTGTCTTGGCCAAGTCAAACGTATAAACCTTACCAGTATCAGCCGTACCCTTCCTGGCCGATGAAGTCGATGGCTGAGTACCACCGGTAGATGCCTTCGGTTTTGTTAAAGCCTCACATACATAAGGTTTCTTAATAATAACTTCAGCAAGATTAGAATCAAGATCTTCTTCCTCAACCACATCGATTGAAAAAACTTCATAATTGGGATACCTATAGTACGTACCTTTCGAGGAATTCTTTCGTTCCTTTTCCTCCTTGAGGACCAACTTATACCTGGTAGCTTTCTCAACCAGGTCATACATGTCATAAAATGGGACTCCTTCAAACCTCTTCCGAAGTTCAAAATCAAGGTCGTTCAAGGCTAAACGAATGTACTCCTGTCTTGGAAGAGGTACACAACATCTCAATCTTGCCCTCCTAAACCTTGCAATGAATGGCTCGACCGATTCACTAGGCAATTGGCTCAGCCTGGATAAATCAGCCAGAGTTGGTTCCGTCTCCGTACGGTAGAACCGATTGTGAAATAACTCCTCCATCTGTGGCAAATTAAAAACAGAGTTAGGAGGTAAACGCATATACCATGAAAAAACTGCCCATGTCAAAGAGGAAAAAGTCTTAATTTTAACCAAGGGCTCACACTAACCTCTCCACATTGAACTGTGAAACGGCCAATGTATTCCACGGTCGACTGATTCCCTTCACCACTAAAGGTTACAAAGTCAGGGACTTTATATCCTCTAAGAAACTCAACTTGATCTACCACTTCTGGATATGGGGTTCTATAAATTGGTCGCCCTGCACCTCTAAGTTCCAGACCATACTCTTGGGTAAGTAAATCAGCTAATTGTCCTCTGTCTAGCATGACCTGTGGTGGCTGATTTATTACTGGCGGTACCTGATTATAAACTGGTGGCTGATTAGCCGCTGGTTGATAGTAATTCGGCCAATCATGTGGCTGATTGGCTATGTTTTGCCCCCCGAGCCCAACCTGTGGTGGCACATGAGTATATAGTGGGTTCGGTGGCCTCCACCTGATCTGATTGCCCCTCGAGTTCAAAGGTACCCGAGGAGGGTTTAGTGGAATTACCTATGGCCGCGGAGCTGTTACTGGTGGCTGATTAAAACCTGACACAGTAGGCTATGGATGTTTTCTGCCCAGGTTGGTGGCATATGAGCCGACTGACTTAATGTTGCACCTGGTTGAAGTATCATTATTGGCGGCCATGGTTGTGATGATTCAATGGCCCTCTCTGGCCGAGTAGATTATGACGAATTCGGCTGAAGAGCCGATTCTTGATTATTGGAGCTGCTAGCCTGAGTCGGCCTGTTCAAAATGGCAGCTGAAAGTTGGGACATAGTTTCGTGCAGGTCATTGTAACGTGCACCCATCCTTCCCATTGCATCTACCAAGGAACTCACATGTGCTTACATCACTGCTAGCTCATCGGTAGGGCCTGATGCAATGTTCTTAGCCTGATCTGGTTGATGTCCTTCCTCCAGTTCTTCTTCAGTAACCACGGCCTTAGAATTCTTCGTAAGCCGTCGTGGCTTTTTTGCCTCTTCTAAACACTTACTAGTGGTCCCACCGGGCGTGCCAAAATATGTTCGCGCGGTTTTACGCCGGTCGATGGACTCTTCGCGGGCGTGCCAGAGTATTTGTACAAAACACTCAATATATGTTGATTCGAACACCAGCCTATCCCTTTTTTCGATGGCTAACTCTCAGGCGATTGTGTGGGAGAGAGACTAGTAAGAACTCCCAGTAAGGTTCTTTTGTGCCTTGTTTGTAGTAAGGACTTTTATCTAAAGTGCTTAAAAGAAGTAAAATGCGATGAAAAAGTAAATGAAAATGAATTGGCTAAATTGAAATGGACTGAAAAGTAAATCGGCCGAATTGAAATGAACAATAAAGGAATTGGCTAAATGGAAATTATATGGAAAATAATGACATTTTGGAATGAGAAAACAGGCCGAATTAAATTGACATGAATGTGATCAAAGATTTGTCATTTAAATTCATTTGCATCAAACAAAGAATAAATTGTAAATTGCATAATTAAGCATTGCAAAAAGAATTATAAGTTATTGGAACTCGTATTCTTCAAATGGAAATTGCCATTTGGACAAAATAATAAAGAATTGATAAAGATAAAGATGACGTTGAGTCATTTGATAAATGAATTTTGATTCATGTTGATTTGTGGTTGGTGCTGGACAAATTGGAATAAAATACAACACTTCTATTTATAGAAGTTTTATTTATTTCCTAATTAATTGCTAGAAAATCTCTCTTTCTTCTTGATTTTCTTCTCTTCACGGCTTACTGGGTCAAATCCCAATATATTGGCTTGCTTTAGTAGAAGATCCTTGCCAAAACAGCTTTTCTTGATTTAATCGAATGTAAATTGACATCGCTAAAAAAGTTGCTAATAATTAAGTTGCTAATTTTTAACAACTTCTTTCCATAGACTGTGTAATTTCCTTAAGTGGCCTGAATACCCTTTTGTAGCTTTTGAACTCATATGGTTGTTCCTACTTTGTTGGAATTCCTTTTCCAATTAAATCCCTATTTCATAGGGATTTAGTTATTTATTGTAACCAAATCTCCAGGTCTTTCCTTTTTAATCAATGACCACATTTGAATTGGTTCAAATCTTGCAAATGTATTCAGCCACAACCTTATTAATAAGATGGCTGAAATATATATTTCCTTATATTTTCTCCTCTTGTTTCTCTATTGGCCGACTTTCCTTGGAATCATATTGCACACTTGTCAGCTCCTCATTGGTCCACGTCACTGTTGAAGTGGCTGCCAAGTTTTGGTGCCAACAGCACTAAAGAGCAATGTTCTCATTGGGTGGAATGAAAGTTGCACAAGGAGAGAAAAAAAAAAAAAAAGAAGAAAGAAAAAAACAAGGATAAATAAATAAATAAAAGAAAGAAATGATTTTTAATAGAAATTAACAATCCCTTGATTGGGACTTGCCGGCGTTCATCGAACCACCACCTGAGCCGCCGGATCGATCTGATTAGGGTTTCGTACCCTTCTGATTTCTACACCGGAAGTTTGTAAGCCTTAGACAAGAATAGAATTGTCTTTGTAGCTTACTGGGCCTGCTTTTGCTTTTGTTGGACAGTGTCTCTGTACAAGCCCTTTTGAGTGGGCTGTCCACTATTTGTGGGCCTATCACTCCTTCTGTATATTATGCATCATTCAATAAAATTATCCTTACTTTCCATTAAAAAAAAACATATCCAATCCCCTTAAAATTTAAATATATTTATCTTTTTCATTAACAATTGTCAATAAACAAAATTTACATATCAATTCCGATTAGAGTCGGCAATCCTCCAGAAATGGAAACGTCGTACATAAAAATAAAAATAAAAATCTTTATTGAGATGTCATGTGCATGCATATGACCCTCAAATTCTTTTTATATCACGTCTTAATGAGCCTTTCGTTCCACCAATTTGACTAGTCTGTAATTTATAATAACTATATTATGCTAATGAAATAAAGAAAATTTGTCAATCTCTATTGAGATATCCTGTGCATAAGTGTGACATTTCAATAGTTTTGCATTAAAAGTGAAGCTTTGGAGATTTCAGTTATTGAATTTAATGGATCCCGTATCTCATCTACCGAATGAATAAACTGCGCGAGGGTTATATGAGCAAGCACGGCACGGCACACTTCCATATCTGCTCATTGCTCAATCTATTTCCAAATTCATTTTGTTAGATGGATGATTAATCCTATTATGCAGCTGTCATATCTGACAAATGATGTTAGACAGTTGTGACTACTTGTGACTGATTTCAGAACTGTTTGTTGCGGAATTTTAAGACTGATTTGTAAGCAATTTGTATAAATGCTGACTAATTTTTCTCACATCTCAACTGCTTGACTCGTGGCACTGTGATCTATATGAACAATGGCATTTGTAGCAGCTTAAGTTAGGCAAGTGTATGTTGTTACTGCTCTAAGGAACTTCTTTATGGATTTGAATGATAAATGAAGCATAATATCGGACTTCACCTTTTTGTTCTTTTAATAGGAAGGAGTAGATTCTGGTTAGAGCTCTTTGAGTAGGAAGCAAGCAAAATGGAAAGTCCAGGAAACTCTGTTATTGAATTTTCTCCCTTGCCAAGCAAGCATATATTCCACACAAAATTAAACACCACACCTTCTTAAGAAATACTCTCCCCTGCATCTTTATCCTCACTCTGTCTTGCTTAAACATCAGTTTTATAGCCTCACTCTCTAGACTCCCACTTCTGCTTCAATCTCCTTTAATTTCAACTGTAATATCTGAAGTTCATCAATATATATATATATATATCTAACTGTTTTCAATTTGGTTAGAGCTGTTTTTCAGTATGGAGAGATTTAGAAGTGGCTGCACCAGATTGTGCATTTTAGCTGTATGCATATCCATTTTAGCCACAACAAATCTCACTCTATGCGGTATTTCTTATTGCTTCTCTCAAAAATATAGTAATTAACATTATATATAGAGTGCCAAATTATTTACTAATTTACACCTGCATATATGTGCTACAATTTCTTAGTAAATTCTTTTGATGCAGAGGCAAGGACTTTACTGGAAATGTTCGAGTTCAGAGGCCAAGAATTCCATACAAGTTCAGCGATTGATGCAATAAACGATGTCAAAGTATCAAATGATGAATTGAACATGAATCCAGCAATATCAAATGATGAATTAGATGGTATAAGCTATCCCTTCTCACTTGTACCTTTTGAATCACTAGGACCACTTCCCTCTCCTGAAGATACACCTCCATTTTGTGTATTTCCTCCAATATTCACCCCACACCCACCTCCTAATAGCTATGGACAACCATCCCCAACACCACCTTTTTACTTCCCTCCATTTCCTAACCAAACCCCACCACCCCAAGGTCACACCCCTACCCCACCTACCCCGGTCCACTCCAACCCTAGCCCACCTAACCCGGTCCAGAATCCACCCCACTCTGTGCCTACCCCTAGTCCGCCTCATCATGGGCCTAGCCCACCAAAACAAGCCCATAGCCCACCCAAGCATGGTCCAAGCCCTCCGGTCTATCTACCGCCTGTACCTTTCCCGCCACCATATGGGCCACCACCTCCACACAAGAGACCTGATTTTGCTGTTTGGTGTGTTGCGAAGCCAACGGTGCCTGATACAATAATCCAAGAAGCCATGGACTATGCTTGTGGATCAGGTGCGGACTGCAAGTCCATTCAGCCCAATGGGCCATGCTTCAAACCCAATACAGTGATAGCCCATGCCTCCTATGCTTTCAATAGTTACTGGCAGAGGACAAAGGTTGCTGGAGGCACTTGTGATTTTGGAGGGTCTGCCATGATCGTCACAGTTGATCCAAGTATGTATTTTTTATTTTTTAAATGTCATTACCAGATCATGATGAGATGATTATTGCATTTTTCTAATGTTAAGTTTGGGAATACCGAACTAACGGTTTGAATTTCAAATCAAAGGATTTTGAACTAAATTTTCTTCGATTTCAGATTCAAAATGTGATGCTTCCAATGGCAACATAAATTTTTTTCCAAATAATAAAAAAAATGAAAACAATTTTAAGTGATGCTTTGATGTGTTATCCTTTTCATGTCTGCAAATATTTAAAAACATGTGACTGATAGAGGACACAGGTGCAGTTGATGTTCTATATTGACAGTACTTGCATTGTTTGGACTCTTCTCTTTTTAACACATTCGCATACATGTGCGCTCCAATTTTTGACTGGTATCATATTATATGTATTACACTCTTGGATCATTCTTTTAATCTTCTTTGTGGTTGTATGTGTGCATGGCAGGTTTTGATGGATGCCAATTCATCTTTAATTGATCTCTGACGACACATGCCGCATGGCAATATACAACCACAACCTCTCCTCCTGGATCCTCCTCATCTTCTCTCTCAATATAGTAAAAATTGGGCGTTGGCATGCTGTTAGATGAATTTTAATTTATACATACTACTTTCGAATTTTTGTCATAAATTTTCTCATTTGATAAATGTCACTGTGTTGTGATTTTGACACTTAAGAGACTCTATAATAATGTGCTCTACATGAAAAAGATTGTACTAATAACTACTTACTGAGAAAGAAAATAGTGTATTATAAAACTTCCTTTTTCCCCTAAATTAAATTAAAACAAATTGATTCCGGAGAATCAAATAACATTTTCACAAACGTTACTATACTAAATTTACTACGATATATGACGCTAGCACTTTTACGGTGGAATGCAACCTCATGTTCCACTCCATCAACCAACTTTTTCTATTAAAATGAAATGTAAAGTACGACTTGTAATAACAAATGTTCAAACCTGGTATTTTGTCAACCATATTTTTTGGGTCCACCGTCATATTTGACCTCACGAATTTTGACGTGAATAAATTCGTGAGGCCACCAGATATGCTGCTATCAATGAGCGGTGAGGTGAGGTGAGGTTATGCTTTTTATAAATGTAAGAAATAGAGAAGTGAATAATCCCGCTTTTTACATTTGATTCCGTTAAACAATTCTGTCAAACTTCTGGGACTTTAAAATTATTTTTCATAAAGAATAATAATTGTGAGGCCACAAATGAGTAGGTTGTAAAAAGGAAAATCTTAGTTTTACCACTATTTAGGTTAAATTTTCAAACCTATCAAATTATATTTATGTTATATTTGGTGTGCAGAAATAGAGTGGAATGAAATGTCCATCTCAATCACTCATTTGTTTGGTATGTAATTTAAAGTGAAAATGACTATTCTATTGGAATGAAAATCCATTCAACAATTAAACCTATGAAATGGTCATTTCATTCCCAAGTAAATTTCTTTAAAAATCAACTTTCTAAAAAATCCTCATGTTCCAAATTCAAAAACCACCACTACCTTTTACCACCACCACCACCGCCACTAACTTTCACCACTTTCCACCACCATTTTTGCCATCGCCTTTCCACCACCACTACCACCACTCCCTTTCACCATAGTCACTACCAGCGCCACCAGCGCCTTTCACCAGCGCCATCGCCTTTTTCACCGCCACTAACTTCCATCACCACCACCACCTTTCACCACCGCCACCTCCACCGCCTTGCACAACCACACATTATCACTGCCTTTCACCGTCGCCATCTCCTTCTACCACCACCACCACCACTCCCTTTCACCACAGTCACCACCACCGCCACCGCCTTTCTCACCGCCACTATCTTCCATCACCACCACCACCTTTCACTACCACCATCGCCACCGCCATCGCCACCGCTTTGCACAACCACCACTACCACCACCTCTCACCGTCGCCATCTCCTTCTACCACCACCGCCGCCACCGCCATCGCCATCACATTCCACCACCACCACCGTCATCGCCTTCTACCACCACCGTCGCTGTGATGACCTTGTGGGCAAGTGTGCCGTGGGCGGATGCAAGAGATACTGACATGCTACCACACTGGCGAGTTACGGGTGCACAGTCCCACATCGCTTGGGTAGAGGAAAGGTGAAGTGCTTATATGTAAGTGCATCATCTCCAATTGGTATGAGGCCTTTTGGGGTGAAGCCCAAGAGCAAAACCGTGTGAGCTCAGGCCCAAAGCGGACAATATCATACTATGTGGTGGAGTGGGTTGTTACAAATGGTATCAAAGCCTGACCCAGCCGGAAGTGTGCCGACGAGGACGTCGGACCTCCAAGGGGGGTGGATTGTGATGACCTTGTGGGGGGATGTGCCGTGGGCAGGTGCAAGAGACACTGATAGGCTACCACACTGGCGAGTTACAGGTGCACAGTCCCACATCGCCTGGGTAGAGGAAAGGTGAAGTGCTTATATGTAAATGCATCATCTCCAATTGGTATGAGGCCTTTTGGGGTGAAGCCCAAGAGCAAAACCGTGCGGGTTCAGGTCCAAAGTGGACAATATCATACCATGTGGTGGAGTGGGTCGTTACAAATGGTATCAGAGCCTGACCCAGCCGGAAGTGTGCCGACGAGGACGTCGGGCCTCCAAGGGGGGTGGATTGTGATGACCTTGTGGGCGGGTGTGCCATGGGCGGGTGCGAGAGACACTGTCAGGCTACCACATTGGCGAGCTATGGGTGCACAGTCCCACATCGCCTGGGTAGAGGAAAGGTGAAGTGCTTATATGTAAGTGTGTCACCTCCAATTAGTATGAGGCCTTTTGGGGTGAAGCCCAAGAGCAAAACCGTGCAGGCTCAGGCTCAAAGCGGACAATATCATACCATGTGGTGGAGTGGGTCGTTACAAATGGTATCAGAGCCTGACCCAGCCAGAAGTGTGCTGACGAGGACGTCGGGCCTCCAAGGGGGGTGGATTGTGATGACCTTGTGGGCGGGTGTGCCGTGGGCGGGTGCAAGAGACACTGTCAGGCTACCACACTGGCTAACTATGGGTGCACAGTCCCACATCGCCTAGGTAGAGGAAAGGTGAAGTGCTTATATGTAAGTGTGTCACCTCCAATTGGTATGAGGTTTTTTGGGGTGAAGCCCAAGCGCAAAACCTTGCGAGCTCAGGCCCAAAGCGGACAATATCATACCATGTGAGGGAGTGGGTCATTACAAATATTGTGATGACCTTGTGGGCGGGTGTGCCGTGGGCGAGTGCGAGAGACACTGTCAAGTTACCACACTAGCGAGCTACGGGTGCACAAGTCCCACATCGCCTGGGTAGAGGGAAGGTGAAGTGCTTATATGTAAGTGCATCATCTCCAATTGGTATGAGGCCTTTTGGGGTGAAGCCTGTAATACCCTTAGATTTAAAAGGATATTCCTGGTATTTAATGTATTAGTTAAATTGCATTTTTACTTGTTTATTTGTTAATTTTGTTTATTTAATTGATTATTTGTTTTATTTATTTATTTATTAACTGATGATTTTTGAATTAATTATTTTAAGTGTTTTAAATTATTTGATTAATTGTGTTTTTATATTAATTGAGTAATTGTAGTATTAAATGATCCGTTACTTAACTAGGGTTCCCTAAGAAGTTACGTGAGTATCTTAACATAGACTGCTATATGGGCCGATCGACTGGAGTTATACGATAGGGCTGTAATTAAACAAGGATTAGGGTTTAGTGTTTACGCCTATAAATACAGTGATCACGTTGGTTTAGGGTTTGGGGGAAAACAAAGTGTTAGTTCTGCAAAACACAGAGAGATACAGAGTAAGGTTTTGAGAGAGCAGAGCAAGTTTGTGAGGTTTCTGACTGAGGCTTCAGGGTCGGACCTAGGAGAAGGAAGGACAAAGGAGGTGTGGTGGTGGGTTTACTAGAACCAGAGGAAGCTTTACAGTGGTTCGTATTGCCGGAACAGTAGACACGAAGCCGGGATTTCATAACTGAAATCAAAGGCAAGTTCTTTTCTTCCTCCTTCCCGTTGGCCTGTGTTCTGTGCACCTAGATATACTCTAGGGTTTAATGGATCAATAATTGAATCAAGCATGTTTTATATGTCAAATTAATCTTATCTTTATTTTGAATTAGTTAGGTGATGGATTTCTGAAGTTTCATTACAGTATTTGTATTACCTAAGCATGTTTTGTCTGTGGAACTTGTAGTTCTGTAGTTGAATTTAACTACTGTAAACCCATCTTGGGGACTATACTGAACATAATTAAGACTCCTAAGAAAAGTTTAAACCCAATTAGACAGGTTGCAACTGGCCGGAGATGAGGCAGAAGGTTGCAGAAACTTCAGACGGGGGGAAAGGGCTCTCACAGAGGGAGAGAGCCGGCTCCATGGAGAAGGAGCCGGCTCCCTCCTACAATGGAGCCGGCTCTAGGTTACATAGAGCCGGCTCTAACCCAATGGAGCTGGCTCCATGGTTTAAAGGAGCCGGCTCAACTCCATTTTGGAGCCTGCTCAATGTTTTAAAAGAGCAGGCTCTTTTCAGTTGATGCGTTCAGTGGGTTTTCAGCTACTGTTTGGGCACTTGGGGTTCAGGAAAAGTTTTGAAACTTTAATGGGGGTTTTAAACAAATACTTTAACATGAAATCAAAGTCTTGGATTGCATAAAATACCCTCTTTTTATTAATGGAATTAACAGTGCGCAAATTAACCACTTTGCGTGCGGTTAACGGCTGGAAGGTAATTCATTGTCTAGTTCTAATTTGCTAATTTATGGTGCTAAAATTGGATTCTAAATTAAATTTTAGATACACGGAGAAGTCTATTAATTGATGAATTAGACTTATGGATAGGCTAGGGCTCTGTGCTAAAGATAAAACAGAGTACAAGTATACAACTCAGTACGCTGTTACCGGATGGAAGGAAATAAATTGCTTAAATTAATTTTAACAATTTACTAGACTATAATATGATTATAGAATTGATTTTAAATACGTGATAGAGTCAATGATATATTAGATTTGATCTATGCATATCTGGATGTTAATTGTTGAGTTATGAAATCACAATCTGCAACTATATGGTTTAATGCTTGGATTTAATTGCTGGAACTTTAACTGTTTTCCTGCAATTACTTGGATATTGGTTTTGGATTATATATATGTGGAATTTTAATTGCTGAATTAATATATTCTGTCAATTATATGGTTATGGAGGATTGTATGCCCTGGTACGGGACGGTGGCATACTAGGGACGGTTTAGCTCAAAATGCTAATACCTAACCTATCGGATGAAAGGGATGGATTGTAAAATATTGAATCCTAAACCTTGTTTAGTCAGATCGACTGATTAAGTTGAAAGACTATCTGGATTAATTGTATTTGTGTGTAGTCGGATCGACTGATTAAGTTGAATGACTACCTGGATTAAATGTTGGTTGTGTTTAAGTCAGATCGACTGATTAAGTTGAATGACTAAACTGGATTAAAATTCTTATGTCAATTCAATAAATAATAAAATGGCATACCTTGGGTTAGACGGACTTTATATATATGTTATGGCACCACGATATGGGCATGAGTCTCAGAGTCATTGGTTAGGGAGCGTATATGCATTGGGATGCATAGTTG